TCACATCACATGTTGTCATAGTGTATGCTGGAGGGTGAGTTGATCACATGTTGTCATAGTGTATGCTGGAGGGTGAGTTGATCATATGTTGTCATAGTGTATGCTAGAGGGTGAGTTGATCACATCACATGTTGTCATAGTGTATGTTGGAGGGTGAGTTGATCACATGTTGTCATAGTGTATGCTGGAGGGTGAGTTGATCACATGTTGTCATAGTGTATGCTGGAGGGTGAGTTGATCACATGTTGTCATAGTGTATGCTGGATGGTGAGTTGGTCACATCACATGTTGTCATAGTGTATGTTAGAGGGTGAGTTGATCACATGTTGTCATAGTGTATGCTGGAGGGTGAGTTGATCATATCATATGTTGTCATAGTTTATGCTAGAGGGTGAGTTGATCACATCACATGTTGTCATAGTGTATGCTGGAGGGTGAGTTGATCACATGTTGTCATAGTGTATGTTGGAGGGTGAGTTGATCACATGTTGTCATAGTGTATGCTGGAGGGTGAGTTGATCACATGTTGTCATAGTGTATGCTGGAGGGTGTGTTGATCACATGTTGTCATAGTGTATGCTGGAGGGTGAGTTGATCATATGTTGTCATAGTGTATGTTGGAGGGTGAGTTGATCATATCACATGTTGTCAAAGTGTATGCTAGAGTGTGAGTTGATCATATCATATGTTGTCATAGTGTATGCTGGAGGGTGAGTTGATCACATGTTGTCATAGTGTATGCAGGAGGGTGAGTTGATCATATGTTGTCATAGTGTATGTTGGAGGGTGAGTTGATCATATGTTGTCATAGTGTATGCTGGAGGGTGAGTTGATCACATGTTGTCATAGTGTATGCTAGAGTGTGAGTTGATCATATCATATGTTGTCATAGTGTATGCAGGAGGGTGAGTTGATCACATGTTGTCATAGTGTATGCTGGAGGGTGAGTTGATCATATGTTGTCATAGTGTATGCTAGAGGGTGAGTTGATCATATCATATGTTGTCATAGTGTATGCTGGAGGGTGAGTTGATCACATGTTGTCATAGTGTATGCTGGAGGGTGAGTTGATCACATGTTGTCATAGTGTATGCTAGAGGGTGAGTTGATCACATCACATGTTGTCATAGTGTATGCTGGAGGGTGAGTTGATCACATGTTGTCATAGTGTATGTTGGAGGGTGAGTTGATCACATGTTGTCATAGTGTATGCTGGAGGGTGAGTTGATCACATGTTGTCATAGTGTATGCTGGAGGGTGAGTTGATCATATGTTGTCATAGTGTATGTTGGAGGGTGAGTTGATCATATCACATGTTGTCATAGTGTATGCAGGAGGGTGAGTTGATCATATGTTGTCATAGTGTATGTTGGAGGGTGAGTTGATCACATGTTGTTATAGTGTATGCTGGAGGGTGAGTTGATCACATGTTGTCATAGTGTATGCTAGAGTGTGAGTTGATCATATCATATGTTGTCATAGTGTATGCAGGAGGGTGAGTTGATCACATGTTGTCATAGTGTATGCTAGAGGGTGAGTTGATCACATCACATGTTGTCATAGTGTATGCTGGAGGGTGAGTTGATCACATGTTGTCATAGTGTATGCTAGAGGGTGAGTTGATCACATCACATGTTGTCATAGTGTATGCTGGAGGGTGAGTTGATCACATGTTGTCATAGTGTATGCTGGAGGGTGAGTTGATCACATGTTGTCATAGTGTATGCTGGAGGGTGAGTTGATCATATCATATGTTGTCATAGTGTATGCAGGAGGGTGAGTTGATCATATGTTGTCATAGTGTATGCTGGAGGGTGAGTTGATCATATGTTGTCATACTGTATGCTAGAGGGTGAGTTGATCATATCATATGTTGTCATAGTGTATGTTGGAGGGTGAGTTGATCACATGTTGTCATAGTGTATGCTGGAGGGTGAGTTGATCATATCATATGTTGTCATAGTGTATGCTGGAGGGTGAGTTGATCACATGTTGTCATAGTGTATGCTAGAGGGTGAGTTGATCACATCACATGTTGTCATAGTGTATGCTGGAGGGTGAGTTGATCACATGTTGTCATAGTGTATGCTGGAGGGTGAGTTGATCACATGTTGTCATAGTGTATGCTGGAGGGTGAGTTGATCATATCATATGTTGTCATAGTGTATGCAGGAGGGTGAGTTGATCACATGTTGTCATAGTGTATGCTGGAGGGTGAGTTGATCATATGTTGTCATAGTGTATGCTAGAGGGTGAGTTGATCATATCATATGTTGTCATAGTGTATGTTGGAGGGTGAGTTGATCACATGTTGTCATAGTGTATGCTGGAGGGTGAGTTGATCATATCATATGTTGTCATAGTGTATGCTGGAGGGTGAGTTGATCACATGTTGTCATAGTGTATGCTGGAGGGTGAGTTGATCACATGTTGTCATAGTGTATGCTGGAGGGTGAGTTGATCACATGTTGTCATAGTGTATGTTGGAGGGTGAGTTGATCACATGTTGTCATAGTGTATGTTGGAGGGTGTGTAGGTCACATCACATGTTGTCATAGTGTATGCTGGAGGGTGAGTTGATCACATGTTGTCATAGTGTATGCTGGAGGGTGAGTTGATCATATGTTGTCATAGTGTATGCTAGAGGGTGAGTTGATCACATCACATGTTGTCATAGTGTATGTTGGAGGGTGAGTTGATCACATGTTGTCATAGTGTATGCTGGAGGGTGAGTTGATCACATGTTGTCATAGTGTATGCTGGAGGGTGAGTTGATCACATGTTGTCATAGTGTATGCTGGATGGTGAGTTGGTCACATCACATGTTGTCATAGTGTATGTTAGAGGGTGAGTTGATCACATGTTGTCATAGTGTATGCTGGAGGGTGAGTTGATCATATCATATGTTGTCATAGTTTATGCTAGAGGGTGAGTTGATCACATCACATGTTGTCATAGTGTATGCTGGAGGGTGAGTTGATCACATGTTGTCATAGTGTATGTTGGAGGGTGAGTTGATCACATGTTGTCATAGTGTATGCTGGAGGGTGAGTTGATCACATGTTGTCATAGTGTATGCTGGAGGGTGTGTTGATCACATGTTGTCATAGTGTATGCTGGAGGGTGAGTTGATCATATGTTGTCATAGTGTATGTTGGAGGGTGAGTTGATCATATCACATGTTGTCAAAGTGTATGCTAGAGTGTGAGTTGATCATATCATATGTTGTCATAGTGTATGCTAGAGGGTGAGTTGATCACATGTTGTCATAGTGTATGCAGGAGGGTGAGTTGATCATATGTTGTCATAGTGTATGTTGGAGGGTGAGTTGATCATATGTTGTCATAGTGTATGCTGGAGGGTGAGTTGATCACATGTTGTCATAGTGTATGCTAGAGTGTGAGTTGATCATATCATATGTTGTCATAGTGTATGCAGGAGGGTGAGTTGATCACATGTTGTCATAGTGTATGCTGGAGGGTGAGTTGATCATATGTTGTCATAGTGTATGCTAGAGGGTGAGTTGATCATATCATATGTTGTCATAGTGTATGCTGGAGGGTGAGTTGATCACATGTTGTCATAGTGTATGCTGGAGGGTGAGTTGATCACATGTTGTCATAGTGTATGCTAGAGGGTGAGTTGATCACATGTTGTTATAGTGTATACTGGAGGGTGAGTTGATCACATGTTGTCATAGTGTATGCTAGAGTGTGAGTTGATCATATCATATGTTGTCATAGTGTATGCAGGAGGGTGAGTTGATCACATGTTGTCATAGTGTATGCTGGAGGGTGAGTTGATCATATCACATGTTGTCATAGTGTATGCAGGAGGGTGAGTTGATCATATGTTGTCATAGTGTATGTTGGAGGGTGAGTTGATCATATGTTGTCATAGTGTATGTTGGAGGGTGAGTTGATCACATGTTGTTATAGTGTATACTGGAGGGTGAGTTGATCACATGTTGTCATAGTGTATGCTAGAGTGTGAGTTGATCATATCATATGTTGTCATAGTGTATGCAGGAGGGTGAGTTGATCACATGTTGTCATAGTGTATGCTGGAGGGTGAGTTGATCATATCACATGTTGTCATAGTGTATGTTGGAGGGTGAGTTGATCACATGTTGTCATAGTGTATGCTGGAGGGTGAGTTGATCATATCACATGTTGTCATAGTGTATGCAGGAGGGTGAGTTGATCATATGTTGTCATAGTGTATGCTGGAGGGTGAGTTGATCACATCACATGTTGTCATAGTGTATGTTGGAGGGTGAGTTGATCACATGTTGTCATAGTGTATGCTGGAGGGTGAGTTGATCATATCACATGTTGTCATAGTGTATGCAGGAGGGTGAGTTGATCACATGTTGTCATAGTGTATGCTGGAGGGTGAGTTGATCATATGTTGTCATAGTGTATGCTGGAGGGTGAGTTGATCACATGTTGTCATAGTGTATGCTAGAGTGTGAGTTGATCACATGTTGTCATAGTGTATGCTAGAGCGTGAGTTGATCACATGTTGTCATAGTGTATGCTGGAGGGTGAGTTGATCACATGTTGTCATAGTGTATGTTGGAGGGTGAGTTGATCACATGTTGTCATAGTGTATGCTAGAGTGTGAGTTGATCACATGTTGTCATAGTGTATGCTAGAGTGTGAGTTGATCACATGTTGTCATAGTGTATGCTGGAGGGTGAGTTGATCACATGTTGTCATAGTGTATGCTAGAGTGTGAGTTGATCACATGTTGTCATAGTGTATGCTGGAGGGTGAGTTGATCACATGTTGTCATAGTGTATGCTAGAGGGTGAGTTGATCACATCACATGTAATTATGTGTTATTTTTATTATGTGTAATTACGTGTTATTATTATTGACTTCAAAAATTAAGTTCATGCTTTTAAGTTATATTGATGTGATTATGTGTTTAGTTAAGTTCAAGAGTGTAAATTATAATAACATAATACATATGAGAATATTATATTTTATTTTTAGGCATGATGAATCAAAGATTCGTAAAGCCTACTTTAAGATGGCACGTGACTACCATCCTGATAAAAATCCTGAAGGAAGAGTAAGGCGTTTTACTTGTTAACTACACTATACCCTCTTAACCAGTAATGTATATGCACACCATCCACATTTTTTAAAAAAGAATCCGTCTACTGCCCCCTCCCCATCCCCTTCATTTCATATATGTAAACAAACAAAACAAAAAAACAATATATATATATATATATACATATATATATATATATATATATATACATATATATATATATATATATATATATATGTATATGTATATATATATATATATATATATATATATATATATATATATATATATATATATATATATATATATATGTATGTACATACTGGCTGTTCTGGCCTGACCTTGTGACTTGTGTGTGTAGTACATAAGCAGCTAATACCCAGCATTGCCCGGGTTTAGGAAAAATACTACATTTCAAATTAAACTTCTATAAGCAAATATGGATGTCTGAAAAAATGTCTACAAACCTAACTATAACCCTCACCACAACCAACCGCAGCCATAACCAAAACGATAAACATACACAAACATAAATATAAAAACAAACACAACCTCAAATAAATATAAACCAACCCTAACCTCAACCACAAACATAAATATAAACAAACCCTCACCACAAAAATAAATATAAACAAACCTTCACCTCAACCACAAACATAAATATAAACCAACCCTCACCACAAACATCAACCACAAACATAAATATAAACAAACCCTCACCACAAACATAAATATAAACAAACCTTCACCTCAACCACAAACATAAATATAAACCAACCCTCACCACAAACATCAACCACAAACATAAATATAAACAAACCCTCACCTCAACCACATACATAAATATAAACAAACCCTCACCACAAAAATAAATATAAACAAACCTTCACCTCAACCACAAACATAAATATAAACAAACCCTCACCACAAAAATAAATATAAACAAACCTTCACCTCAACCACAAACATAAATATAAACAAACCCTCACCACAAAAATGAATATAAACAAACCTTCACCTCAACCACAAACATAAATATAAACAAACCCTCACCACAAACATAAATATAAACCAACCTTCACCTCAACCACAAACATAAATATAAACAAACCCTCACCACAAACATGAATATAAACCAACCCTCACCTCAACCACAAACATAAATATAAACAAACCTTCACCACAAAAATAAATATAAACAAACCTTCACCTCAACCACAAACATAAATATAAACCAACCCTCACCACAAACATCAACCACAAACATAAATATAAACCAACCCTTACCTCAACCACAAACATAAATATAAACAAACCCTCACCACAAACATAAATATAAACCAACCTTCACCTCAACCACAAACATAAATATAAACAAACCCTCACCACAAACATGAATATAAACCAACCCTCACCTCAACCACAAAAATAAATATAAACAAACCTTCACCTCAACCACAAACATAAATATAAACCAACCCTCACCACAAACATCAACCACAAACATAAATATAAACCAACCCTTACCTCAACCACAAACATAAATATAAACAAACCCTCACCACAAACATAAATATAAACAAACCTTCACCTCAACCACAAACATAAATATAAACCAACCCTCACCACAAACATCAACCACAAACATAAATATAAACCAACCCTTACCTCAACCACAAACATAAATATAAACAAACCCTCACCACAAACATAAATATAAACCAACCTTCACCTCAACCACAAACATAAATATAAACAAACCCTCACCACAAACATGAATATAAACCAACCCTCACCTCAACCACAAAAATAAATATAAACAAACCTTCACCTCAACCACAAACATAAATATAAACCAACCCTCACCACAAACATCAACCACAAACATAAATATAAACCAACCCTTACCTCAACCACAAACATAAATATAAACAAACCCTCACCACAAACATAAATATAAACCAACCTTCACCTCAACCACAAACATAAATATAAACAAACCCTCACCACAAACATGAATATAAACCAACCCTCACCTCAACCACAAACATAAATATAAACAAACCTTCACCACAAAAATAAATATAAACAAACCTTCACCTCAACCACAAACATAAATATAAACCAACCCTCACCACAAACATCAACCACAAACATAAATATAAACCAACCCTTACCTCAACCACAAACATAAATATAAACAAACCCTCACCACAAACATAAATATAAACCAACCTTCACCTCAACCACAAACATAAATATAAACAAACCCTCACCACAAACATGAATATAAACCAACCCTCACCTCAACCACAAAAATAAATATAAACAAACCTTCACCTCAACCACAAACATAAATATAAACCAACCCTCACCACAAACATCAACCACAAACATAAATATAAACCAACCCTTACCTCAACCACAAACATAAATATAAACAAACCCTCACCACAAACATAAATATAAACAAACCCTCACCACAAACATAAATATAAACAAACCCTCACCACAAAAATAAATATAAACAAACCTTCACCTCAACCACAAACATAAATATAAACCAACCCTCACCTCAACCACAAACATAAATATAAACAAACCCTCACCACAAAAATGAATATAAACAAACCCTCACCACAAACATCAACCACAAACATAAATATAAACAAACCCTCACCACAAACATCAACCACAAACATAAATATAAACAAACCCTCACCACAAACATCAACCACAAACATCATCCACAAACATCAACCACAAACATCAACCACAAACATCAACCACAAACATCAACCACAAACATTAACCACAAACATAAATATAAACAAACCCTCACCACAAACATCAACCACAAACGTAAATATAAACAAACCCTCTCCACAAACATCACCAACAAACTTAAACCCTGAAAGAAGTGGGGAAGAGGGTTAAATTATAAGTGGGAAGAAGAGAAAGACGGATGTGGATTAGATCCGTAGAGGAGAGAAGGATGGATGTGGATTAGATCCTTTTATATATATATATACTAGCCGTACCAGCCAGGCCCTGCACTGGCCTCTGTGAAAAACCCAGAGGCTTAGCAGGGAGGGGGGGGGGGGGCTGACCGCACCAGATGACACCATTTCAGAGAGTGACACCATGTGATCAACTCACCCTCCAGCTTACACTATGACAACCTCTGGGAGGTGACACCATTAAGTGCAGCACCGGGTGACACCCGACCGCGCTACGCCATTGGAAAAACTTATCTGTAAAGGACCATGACATGTGTGTTTAGTAATCAGCATATACCAGGCATTGCCCACCCTATCCACAACCAACCAAAACCAAAACACAAAAAAAACGCAAACAAAAATTCAAACACAAACCCATCCGCAAACCCAAACCAAATACCAAGAAAACGCAAATCCAAACGCAAAGTGCTCACAGTCTAGCCCGGGGCGCCAAATCGCACCTGGCTGGGGTGCCGGTGAAACCGCCTTTTTCGGCTTAGTAAACGAATATAGTACCCCAATTTATTCATAGTATTTTGCACTCACTTAAACATATGCGTCATAGCAAACACGGGAAGGCCCGGGGCGCCAAATAGCACCCTGTCGGTTCACCGGAGGACGGGCAGATTTGATTCACTTAAAGACTATAGTAACTTTTCTTATCCATAGTCTATCGCACTGTTTAAAATGAACTTATCCACCATAGCGCTCACAGGATAGCCCAGTGCACCAAATCGAATCCTGCCGGGGCGCCGGGTTATATATATATATAAATATATATATATATATATATATATATATATATATATATATATATATATATATATATATATATTTATATATAAATATATATACACATACACACACACACACACACATACACACAGAGACACGAGCACATTTCATCTTTGTAAATACACTCTAACCAAACCTCATCATATCAGCATTATAGTATGGTCATTTTTGTTTTACTTTATCAGCATTATAGTATGGTGATTTGTTTTACTTTATCGGCATTATAGTATGGTCATTTGTTTTACTTTATCAGCATTATAGTATGGTCATTTGTTTTACTTTATCAGCATTATAGTATGGTCATTTGTTTTACTTTATCAGCATTATAGTATGGTCATTTGTTTTACTTTATTTACACTATCGTATGGTCATTTGTTTTACTTTATCAGCATTATAGTATGGTCATTTGTTTTACTTTATCGGCATTATAGTATGGTCATTTGTTTTACTTTATCAGCATTATAGTATGGTCATTTGTTTTACTTTATCAGCATTATAGTATGGTCATTTGTTTTACTTTATCAGCATTATAGTATGGTCATTTGTTTTACTTTATCAGCATTATAGTATGGTCATTTGTTTTACCCTCTCCTAATAGTCACACCACATTTTGTCCTTGCCTGTTTCACTGACACTCAATCCCCTAAGCCTAATCCTAACCCTAAGCCTAATCCTTATATTATAACAACATTCTCCAATCTTTAATCCATAACAAAGCTTTCAAATGTTTATATCAAATCTGAACACCATAATCCTAATACCTTATCCAAACTCCTTAATCCTGATATCGTATCCAAACTCCTTAAACCTGATATCGTATCCAAACTCCTTAATCCTGATATCGTATCCAAACTCCTTAAACCTGATATCGTATCCAAACTCCTTAATCCTGATATTGTATCCAAACTCCTTAATCTTAATACCATATTTCCTGTCAACAGGAAATGTTTGAGCAAGTGAACAAAGCTTATGAGTTCCTGTGCAGCAAAACAAAAGTCAAAGATGGACCTGACCCACAGAACATTGTACTCATTTTAAAGGCTCAAAGCATTCTCTTCAGCCGTTACAAAGATGGTGAGTAAACTCACTCAAGTCATCATGGGCAGTGGCGTCGCTAGGTCGGGTGTCAACCACTTCATGGTGTCACCCCCCCACCCCAAAGTAACAAAGTATATATATATATATATATATATATATATATATATATATATATATATATATATATATATATATATATATATATGAGTGTGTGTATCGGCCTACATAGGCCTATAATTCAAATATATGCCACATACACATACATGTATGTTTATAACCTTTAATCACTGCAGACATAATAGTAACAATGTTTATCTATATCCTGTTAATAATATAGTTGGATTTAGCCATGTTTTCTCTCTAGTTAGCATGCTTACGTCATTGTGCCATCTCACTCATGTAATAATTGTTGATTTATTATTTAAAGAATATTTAGATTTTAATAATTATTAATTGAAATGGCAAAAAAGCATTTCTCTTCTGTAAATTTTGTGTAAATGGTGTCACCGGTGGGGCCTGCACCCCCCACCCCGCCCTCGCTACGCCTCTGATCACAGGAGCATCAACTCACTATTATAAATCAAAGATATCTCACTAAGTTAATCTCACTAAGTCAAACATATCTCACTAAGTTAATCTCACTTAGTCAAACATATCTCACTAAGTTAATCTCACTAAGTCAAACCTATCTCATTAAGTTAATCTCACTAAGTCAAACATATCTCACTAAATTAATTTCACTAAGTTAAACATCTCTCACTAAATCAAACATGTCTCTCTAACTTAATTTCATTAAAACAGACTCATTGTCATTAAGGCTAAAGGTAAATTAATTTCAACAAGGCAAATTGCAGATTAATTACATTAAGAAAAAAACTGTATAGAAACTATTTTCCAACTACAACAAGTGTCCACCATTTTATTGACCTAAAAATGTCCCCCATTTTACCGACCTACAAAATGTCCACCATTTTACTGACCTACAAAATGTCCACCATTTTACCGACCTACAAAATGTCCACCATTTTACTGACCTACAAAATGTCCACCATTTTACCGACCTACAAAATGTCCACCATTTTACTGACCTACAAAATGTCCACCATTTTACCGACCTACAAAATGTCCACCATTTTACCGACCTACAAAATGTCCACCATTTTACCAACCTACAAAATGTCCACCATTTTACCGACCTACAAAATGTCCACCATTTTACTGACTTCCAGAGCTCCAGCCATACAAGTATGCCGGCTACCCAATGTTAATCAAGACCATCAGGATGGAGACCAATGATGACCAGCTGTTCAGCAAATCTGCTCCTCTTCTCTCTGCAGCCTCTGAACTAGCCTTTCACACTGTCAATTGTTCAGCCCTTAATGCTGAGGAGTTACGCAGAGAAAACGGCATCCAAGTAAGGCACCAATACATTTCTCCCATAATGGCACCAATACATTTCTCCCATAATGGCACCAATACATTTCTCCCATAATGGCACCAATACATTTCTCCCATAATGGCACCAATACATTTCTCCCATAATGGCACCAATACATTTCTCCCATAATGGCACCAATACATTTCTCCCATAATGGCACCAAAATACATTTCTCCCATGTCAATTTGTTTTTGTACTTATATGTTAATTACCTCAAAGTTATGCCAATGTTGATTACCTCAGTTATGCTAATATTAATTACCTCAGTTATGCCAATGTTAATTACCTCAGTTATGCTAATATTAATTACCTCAGTTATGCTAATGTTTATAACCTCAAAGTTATGCTTTTACTTCAGGTACTACAAGATGCTTTCTCTAGATGTGTAAATGTTCTCAATCAGTCAAGTAAACAAGAAGAGACAGCAGTCAATGTGAGTCTACGCTTTCATTACATTACATGATTCCAGGTCTTTACTTACATGATCCAGGTCTTTACTTACATGATCCAGGTCTTTACTTACATGATCCAGGTCTTTACTTACATGATCCAGGTCTTTACTTACATGATCCAGGTCTTTACTTACATGATCCAGGTCTTTACTTACATGGTCCAGGTCTTTACTTATATGATTCCACGTCTTTACTTACAGGATCTAGGTCTTTACTTATATGATTCCAGGTCTTACTTACATGATCTAGGTCTTTACTTACATGATCCAGGTCTTTACTTACATGATCCAGGTCTTTACTTACATGATCCAGGTCTTTACTTACATGATCCAGGTCTTTACTTACATGATCCAGGTCTTTACTTACAGGATCCAGGTCTTTACTTACATGATTCCATGTCTTTACTTACTTGATCCAGGTCTTTACTTATATGATCCAGGTCTTTACTTACATGATCCACGTCTTTACTTACATGATCCAGGTCTTTACTTATATGATCCAGGTCTTTACTTACATGATCCAGGTCTTTACTTACATGATCCAGGTCTTTACTTACATGATCCAGGTCTTTACTTACAGGATCCAGGTCTTTACTTACATGATTCCATGTCTTTACTTACTTGATCCAGGTCTTTACTTATATGATCCAGGTCTTTACTTACATGATCCACGTCTTTACTTACATGATCCAGGTCTTTACTTACATGATCCAGGTCTTTACTTATATGATTCCAGGTCTTTACTTATATGATTCCAGGTCTTTACTTACATGATCCAGGTCTTTACTTACATGATTCCACGTCTTTACTTACATGATCCAGGTCTTTACTTACATGATCCCCATCTTTACTTACATGATCCAGGTCTTTACTTACATGATCCAGGTCTTTACTTATATGATTCCAGGTCTTTACTTATATGATTCCAGGTCTTTACTTACATGATCCACGTCTTTACTTACATGATCCAGGTCTTTACTTATATGATCCAGGTCTTTACTTACATGATCCAGGTCTTTACTTACATGATCCACGTCTTTACTTACAGGATCTAGGTCTTTACTTATATGATTCCAGGTCTTACTTACATGATCTAGGTCTTTACTTACATGATCCAGGTCTTTACTTACATGATCCAGGTCTTTACTTACAGGATCCAGGTCTTTACTTACAGGATCCAGGTCTTTACTTACATGATCCCCATCTTTACTTACATGATCCAGGTCTTTACTTACATGATCCAGGTCTTTACTTACATGATCCAGGTCTTTACTTATATGATTCCAGGTCTTTACTTATATGATTCCAGGTCTTTACTTACATGATCCAGGTCTTTACTTACATGATCCAGGTCTTTACTTATATGATTCCAGGTCTTTACTTATATGATTCCAGGTCTTTACTTACATGATCCAGGTCTTTACTTACATGATCCAGGTCTTTACTTACACGATCCAGGTCTTTACTTACATGATTCCATGTCTTTACTTACATGATCCAGGTCTTTACTTATATGATCCAGGTCTTTACTTACATGATCCCCATCTTTACTTATATGATCCACGTCTTTACTTACATGATCCAGGTCTTTACTTACATGATCCAGGTCTTTACTTACATGATCCACGTCTTTACTTATATGATTCCAGGTCTTTACTTACATGATTCCAGGTCTTTACTTACATGATCCAGGTCTTTACTTACATGATCTAGGTCTTTACTTACATGATCCAGGTCTTTACTTACATGATCCACGTCATTACTTACATGATCTAGGTCTTTACTTACATGATCTAGGTCTTTACTTACATGATCCACGTCTTTACTTACATGATCTAGGTCTTTACTTACATGATTCCAGGTCTTTACTTACATGATCCAGGTCTTTACTTACATGATCTAGGTCTTTACTTACATGATCCACGTCATTACTTACATGATCTAGGTCTTTACTTACAGGATCCAGGTCTTTACTTACATGATCCAGGTCTTTACTTACAGGATCCAGGTCTTTACTTACATGATCCAGGTCTTTACTTACATGATCCAGGTCTTTACTTACATGATCCAACTCATACATATATATTGACTCAGAAATAGACTTAAGTAAGTAACAGTTGTATTATGACATTAAAAAAATTTTACAGAGGGGTCCATGGGGGGGGGGCGGACCAATCCACCTCCCTGCCTACGCCACTGCTTACATGATTCCAGGTGTTTACTTACATGATTCCAGGTGTTTACTTACATGATTCAGGTGTTTACTTACATGGTCCACGTCTTTACTTACATGATTCCAGGTGTGTACATACATTGCTAAATGCTATGCTGTGTCTGCACAATTTGAAGGATGTAGAGAAAAAATTCAAGAGTGCTCTGCTATAATCAAAGACCTTTGTCGTATTTTATACTACAAGGTAATGAATTCTTTTTTATTTTATTTTTATTCCTTCTTCTGCCCCCTAGAGTCCCCAATTGTGCCATAGATTACTCATAGGTTAGGGTTAGTGTTGCCTCATGGGTTAGTGTTGCCTCATGGGTTAGTGTTGCCTCATGGGTTAGTGTTGCCTCATGGGTTAGGGTTGCCTCATGGGTTAGGGTTAGTGTTGCCTCATGGGTTAGTGTTGCCTCATGGGTTAGGGTTAGTGTTGCCTCATGGGTTAGTGTTGCCTCATGGGTTAGTGTTGCCTCATGGGTTAGTGTTGCCTCATGGGTTAGGGTTAGTGTTGCCTCATGTGTTAGTGTTGCCTCATGGGTTAGTGTTGCCTCATGGGTTAGGGTTAGTGTTGCCTCATGGGTTAGTGTTGCCTCATGTGTTAGTGTTGCCTCATGGGTTAGTGTTGCCTCATGGGTTAGTGTTGCCTCATGGGTTAGTGTTGCCTCATGGGTTAGGGTTAGTGTTGCCTCATGGGTTAGTGTTGCCTCATGGGTTAGTGTTGCCTCATGGGTTAGTGTTGCCTCATGGGTTAGTGTTGCCTCATGGGTTAGTGTTGCCTCATGGGTTAGTGTTGCCTCATGGGTTAGTGTTGCCTCATGGGTTAGTGTTGCCTCATGGGTTAGGGTTAGTGTTGCCTCATGTGTTAGTGTTGCCTCATGGGTTAGTGTTGCCTCAAGTGTTAGGGTTAGTGTTGCCTCATGTGTTAGTGTTGCCTCATGGGTTAGTGTTGCCTCATGGGTTAGGGTTAGTGTTGCCTCATGGGTTAGGGTTAGTGTTGCCTCATGGGTTAGTGTTGCCTCATGTGTTAGTGTTGCCTCATGGGTTAGTGTTGCCTCATGTGTTAGTGTTGCCTCATGGGTTAGGGTTGCCTCATGGGTTAGTGTTGCCTCATGGGTTAGTGTTGCCTCATGGGTTAGTGTTGCCTCATGGGTTAGTGTTATGGTTTGGTGTACCCGTTGGGATTGATTGTAATAACATTTGAGATGGGGGGGGGGGGGGGGGGAGGGGATTGTGAAAATTTCAAACATCTTTTTATTTGTTAGTATCTAATCCAATGAATAAAATAAATTCAGCATGTTAGTTAATATTTAAACATTTTCTAACCATTTCAGAACCTTCCAAAATTGTGTGCAGTTGTGTGTGAGTGTATCAGTGCATTTTGTGTGGATTTTTGGCTCCAGACAAACCTGTTCCAGGCAGGTGTCTTATGGCACCTGCTCCTGTACCTGTTCAACTATGATTACACACTAGAAGAAGGGGGGGTGGAGAAAAGTCAGGAAAGTAATCAACAGGTCAGTACCTATACAGGGCTGTCTGATCAACAGGTCAGTACCTATACAGGGCTGTCTGATCAACAGGTCAGTTCCTATGGTAACAGGGCATTACCCCCCCCCCATCAATTACCCCCCTCCGGACTCCCCCCCCCCTGTCATTACCCCCGGAATGATTAGCCCCCCTGTCAATAACACCTTTCCCCTCCCCCCTCCCCCCCCCCCTCCCTATCGAGTAGGACATCTCCCCTTGGTCATAGCTTAAGGTTCAGCTAGGGTTTGCGTTTGGGCTAAGGTTAGGGTTAGAGCTAGGGTCAGGGTTAGGGTTAGTTTTAGGATCAGGGTTAGGCTGAAATCAATGTCTAAAGTTATGTTTGTAGGTTTATTTTACGGTGAGGTGAATTCTAAGGTTTTTCATATTACCTTAAGGTTAGGATTAAGATAATATTTTGGTATAGATTTGGAGTTAGAATCAGGATTCTATTTTGGTGGATTGGGGGGGGGGGGGGGAATTGACAGAGGGGTAATTGCTCCGGGGGAGGTAAATACAGTGGGGTAATGTCCTGTGCCGTACCTATACAGGGCTGTGTGACCTACTTAGGTCTGTTTGGCTTTATGTATATTTAATCTCCTGAGTTATGTATTTGTCCTTGGGAGAATTGTCAGTTCACTGGTACAACTCGGTCAACTGAACTCTGTCACATCAGGTGATTCTATCTTTAATCCCTGGCAGAACCTCAACCAATGGTCTTGCGACCGTGAGGATCCTTGACAGATCCTCAACCAATAGTTGTAAGACTTTTGAGTTATTTCCCCTATTATTGAATGCTATTTAATCTCGGGATTCTCAAGTTCAAAGGCAGCCAGATTGACTTTGGACCAGGAGAGTTGTGCCAGTGGTTATGTACGCCATTTTGCAGTATTGTCATTATGTGACATGATTTTCACCTTTGTATAAGGAATTATGTGACTAGTTGTAGTTTACTGAATATTTTGTTCTGGTGTATAATTGCACCTTTTTGATTACTTCGGTGATAGTTTGATCCTTTATTTGGATTTCTATTGTTGTAGAGGCAATAAGTCTCTTCTTGGTTTTTTGTGGTAATTATGATGCCATTCAGTTGTGTGTAGTAATGATTTATTGGTGTATAATATACTATGCCACAGCTGTGATATATTGTGATTTTTCTCAAACTGTAAGTTGGAGTTTTTGAGGTTATTTATTGTACTCATAGAATCTGTACATTTTGATCTTACCTAGTGTCATTATCTTGTACATAAATTAAAAAGGTATTCATAGTTTAAGTCGTGTGAGTCTCTTCGATTTGTCGTGTTTTCCCCCAGACAGCATTAACGAGCTAACGGCAAGTTGTTGAGATTCCGTTACAACGTCTTCTATCGGTACCATACCAAACGAACCTGGGGTGTCCGCTCCCTCCGCTGCTGTCGGAGGTCAGACATAACAGCTGTATAATATTATGGCTTTGTCACCCAGGTCAGAGAATTGAGATTGTGCAGCAAAGGTTAGACTTTTTGTGCAGCAAAGGTTACACTTTTTGTGCAGCAAAGGTTACACTTTTTGTGCTGCAAAGGTTACACTTTTTGTGCTGCAAAGGTTACACTTTTTGTGCTGCAAAGGTTAGACTTTTTGTGCAGCAAAGGTTACACTTTTTGTGCTGCAAAGGTTACACTTTTTGTGCAGCAAAGGTTAGACTTTTTGTGCTGCAAAGGTTACACTTTTTGTGCTGCAAAGGTTACACTTTTTGTGCTGCAAAGGTTACACTTTTTGTGCTGCAAAGGTTACACTTTTTGTGCTGCAAAGGTTACACTTTTTGTGCTGCAAAGGTTACACTTTTTGTGCAGCAAAGGTTACACTTTTTGTGCTGCAAAGGTTACACTTTTTGTGCTGCAAAGGTTACACTTTTTGTGCTGCAAAGGTTACACTTTTTGTGCTGCAAAGGTTACACTTTTTGTGCTGCAAAGGTTACACTTTTTGTGCTGCAAAGGTTACACTTTTTGTGCTGCAAAGGTTACACTTTTTGTGCTGCAAAGGTTACACATTTTGTGCTGCAAAGGTTACACTTTTTGTGCTGCAAAGGTTACACTTTTTGTGCAGCAAAGGTTACACTTTTTGTGCTGCAAAGGTTACACTTTTTGTGCTGCAAAGGTTACACTTTTTGTGCTGCAAAGGTTACACTTTTTGTGCTGCAAAGGTTACACTTTTTGTGCTGCAAAGGTTACACTTTTTGTGCTGCAAAGGTTACACTTTTTGTGCTGCAAAGGTTACACTTTTTGTGCTGCAAAGGTTACACTTTTTGTGCTGCAAAGGTTACACTTTTTGTGCTGCAAAGGTTACACTTTTTGTGCTGCAAAGGTTACACTTTTTGTGCTGCAAAGGTTACACTTTTTGTGCTGCAAAGGTTACACTTTTTGTGCTGCAAAGGTTACACTTTTTGTGCTGCAAAGGTTACACTTTTTGTGCTGCAAAGGTTACACTTTTTGTGCTGCAAAGGTTACATATTTTGTGCTGCAAAGGTTACACTTTTTGTGCAGCAAAGGTTACACTTTTTGTGCTGCAAAGGTTACACTTTTTGTGCTGCAAAGGTTACACTTTTTGTGCTGCAAAGGTTACACTTTTTGTGCTGCAAAGGTTACACTTTTTGTGCTGCAAAGGTTACACTTTTTGTGCTGCAAAGGTTACACTTTTTGTGCTGCAAAGGTTACACTTTTTGTGCTGCAAAGGTTACACATTTTGTGCTGCAAAGGTTACACTTTTTGTGCTGCAAAGGTTACACTTTTTGTGCAGCAAAGGTTACACTTTTTGTGCTGCAAAGGTTACACTTTTTGTGCTGCAAAGGTTACACTTTTTGTGCTGCAAAGGTTACACTTTTTGTGCTGCAAAGGTTACACTTTTTGTGCTGCAAAGGTTACACTTTTTGTGCTGCAAAGGTTACACTTTTTGTGCTGCAAAGGTTACACTTTTTGTGCTGCAAAGGTTACACTTTTTGTGCTGCAAAGGTTACACTTTTTGTGCTGCAAAGGTTACACTTTTTGTGCTGCAAAGGTTACACTTTTTGTGCTGCAAAGGTTACACTTTTTGTGCTGCAAAGGTTACACTTTTTGTGCTGCAAAGGTTACACTTTTTGTGCTGCAAAGGTTACACATTTTGTGCTGCAAAGGTTACACTTTTTGTGCTGCAAAGGTTACACTTTTTGTGCAGCAAAGGTTACACTTTTTGTGCTGCAAAGGTTACACTTTTTGTGCTGCAAAGGTTACACTTTTTGTGCTGCAAAGGTTACACTTTTTTGGCTGCAAAGGTTACACTTTTTGTGCTGCAAAGGTTACACTTTTTGTGCTGCAAAGGTTACACTTTTTGTGCTGCAAAGGTTACACTTTTTGTGCTGCAAAGGTTACACTTTTTGTGCTGCAAAGGTTACACTTTTTGTGCTGCAAAGGTTACACTTTTTGTGCTGCAAAGGTTACACTTTTTGTGCTGCAAAGGTTACACTTTTTGTGCTGCAAAGGTTACACTTTTTGTGCTGCAAAGGTTACACTTTTTGTGCTGCAAAGGTTACACTTTTTGTGCTGCAAAGGTTACACTTTTTGTGCTGCAAAGGTTACACTTTTTGTGCTGCAAAGGTTACACTTTTTGTGCTGCAAAGGTTACACTTTTTGTGCTGCAAAGGTTACACTTTTTGTGCAGCAAAGGTTACACTTTTTGTGCTGCAAAGGTTACATATTTTGTGCTGCAAAGGTTACACTTTTTGTGCAGCAAAGGTTACACTTTTTGTGCTGCAAAGGTTACACTTTTTGTGCTGCAAAGGTTACACTTTTTGTGCTGCAAAGGTTACACTTTTTGTGCTGCAAAGGTTACACTTTTTGTGCTGCAAAGGTTACACTTTTTGTGCTGCAAAGGTTACACTTTTTGTGCTGCAAAGGTTACACATTTTGTGCTGCAAAGGTTACACTTTTTGTGCTGCAAAGGTTACACTTTTTGTGCAGCAAAGGTTACACTTTTTGTGCTGCAAAGGTTACACTTTTTGTGCTGCAAAGGTTACACTTTTTGTGCTGCAAAGGTTACACTTTTTGTGCTGCAAAGGTTACACTTTTTGTGCTGCAAAGGTTACACTTTTTGTGCTGCAAAGGTTACACTTTTTGTGCTGCAAAGGTTACACTTTTTGTGCTGCAAAGGTTACACTTTTTGTGCTGCAAAGGTTACACTTTTTGTGCTGCAAAGGTTACACTTTTTGTGCTGCAAAGGTTACACTTTTTGTGCTGCAAAGGTTACACTTTTTGTGCTGCAAAGGTTACACTTTTTGTGCTGCAAAGGTTACACATTTTGTGCTGCAAAGGTTACACTTTTTGTGCTGCAAAGGTTACACTTTTTGTGCAGCAAAGGTTACACTTTTTGTGCTGCAAAGGTTACACTTTTTGTGCTGCAAAGGTTACACTTTTTGTGCTGCAAAGGTTACACTTTTTTGGCTGCAAAGGTTACACTTTTTGTGCTGCAAAGGTTACACTTTTTGTGCTGCAAAGGTTACACTTTTTGTGCTGCAAAGGTTACACTTTTTGTGCTGCAAAGGTTACACTTTTTGTGCTGCAAAGGTTACACTTTTTGTGCTGCAAAGGTTACACTTTTTGTGCTGCAAAGGTTACACTTTTTGTGCTGCAAAGGTTACACTTTTTGTGCTGCAAAGGTTACACTTTTTGTGCTGCAAAGGTTACACTTTTTGTGCTGCAAAGGTTACACTTTTTGTGCTGCAAAGGTTACACTTTTTGTGCTGCAAAGGTTACACTTTTTGTGCTGCAAAGGTTACACTTTTTGTGCTGCAAAGGTTACACTTTTTGTGCTGCAAAGGTTACACTTTTTGTGCTGCAAAGGTTACACTTTTTGTGCTGCAAAGGTTACACTTTTTGTGCTGCAAAGGTTACACTTTTTGTGCTGCAAAGGTTACACTTTTTGTGCTGCAAAGGTTACACTTTTTGTGCTGCAAAGGTTACACTTTTTGTGCTGCAAAGGTTACACTTTTTGTGCTGCAAAGGTTACACTTTTTGTGCTGCAAAGGTTACACTTTTTGTGCTGCAAAGGTTACACTTTTTGTGCTGCAAAGGTTACACTTTTTGTGCTGCAAAGGTTACACTTTTTGTGCTGCAAAGGTTACACTTTTTGTGCTGCAAAGGTTACACTTTTTGTGCTGCAAAGGTTACACTTTTTGTGCTGCAAAGGTTACACTTTTTGTGCTGCAAAGGTTACACTTTTTGTGCTGCAAAGGTTACACTTTTTGTGCTGCAAAGGTTACACTTTTTGTGCTGCAAAGGTTACACTTTTTGTGCTGCAAAGGTTACACTTTTTGTGCTGCAAAGGTTACACTTTTGTGCTGCAAAGGTTACACTTTTTGTGCTGCAAAGGTTACACTTTTTGTGCTGCAAAGGTTACACTTTTTGTGCTGCAAAGGTTACACTTTTTGTGCTGCAAAGGTTACACTTTTTGTGCTGCAAAGGTTACACTTTTTGTGCTGCAAAGGTTACACTTTTTGTGCTGCAAAGGTTACACTTTTTGTGCTGCAAAGGTTACACTTTTTGTGCTGCAAAGGTTACACTTTTTGTGCTGCAAAGGTTACACTTTTTGTGCTGCAAAGGTTACACTTTTTGTGCTGCAAAGGTTACACTTTTTGTGCTGCAAAGGTTACACTTTTTGTGCTGCAAAGGTTACACTTTTTGTGCTGCAAAGGTTACACTTTTTGTGCTGCAAAGGTTACACTTTTTGTGCTGCAAAGGTTACACTTTTTGTGCTGCAAAGGTTACACTTTTTGTGCTGCAAAGGTTACACTTTTTGTGCTGCAAAGGTTACACTTTTTGTGCTGCAAAGGTTACACTTTTTGTGCTGCAAAGGTTACACTTTTTGTGCTGCAAAGGTTACACTTTTTGTGCTGCAAAGGTTACACTTTTTGTGCTGCAAAGGTTACACTTTTTGTGCTGCAAAGGTTACACTTTTTGTGCTGCAAAGGTTACACTTTTTGTGCTGCAAAGGTTACACTTTTTGTGCTGCAAAGGTTACACTTTTTGTGCTGCAAAGGTTACACTTTTTGTGCAGCAAAGGTTACACTTTTTGTGCTGCAAAGGTTACACGTTTTGTGCTGCAAAGGTTACACTTTTTGTGCAGCAAAGGTTACACTTTTTGTGCTGCAAAGGTTACACTTTTTGTGCTGCAAAGGTTACACTTTTTGTGCTGCAAAGGTTACACTTTTTGTGCTGCAAAGGTTACACTTTTTGTGCTGCAAAGGTTACACTTTTTGTGCTGCAAAGGTTACACTTTTTGTGCTGCAAAGGTTACACTTTTTGTGCTGCAAAGGTTACACTTTTTGTGCTGCAAAGGTTACACTTTTTGTGCTGCAAAGGTTACACTTTTTGTGCTGCAAAGGTTACACTTTTTGTGCTGCAAAGGTTACACTTTTTGTGCTGCAAAGGTTACACTTTTTGTGCTGCAAAGGTTACACTTTTTGTGCAGCAAAGGTTACACATTTTGTGCTGCAAAGGTTACACTTTTTGTGCAGCAAAGGTTACACTTTTTGTGCTGCAAAGGTTACACTTTTTGTGCAGCAAAGGTTACACATTTTGTGCTGCAAAGGTTACACTTTTTGTGCAGCAAAGGTTACACTTTTTGTGCTGCAAAGGTTACACTTTTTGTGCAGCAAAGGTTACACTTTTTGTGCTGCAAAGGTTACACTTTTTGTGCAGCAAAGGTTACACATTTTGTGCTGCAAAGGTTACACTTTTTGTGCAGCAAAGGTTACACTTTTTGTGCTGCAAAGGTTACACTTTTTGTGCAGCAAAGGTTACACATTTTGTGCTGCAAAGGTTACACTTTTTGTGCAGCAAAGGTTACACTTTTTGTGCTGCAAAGGTTACACTTTTTGTGCAGCAAAGGTTACACTTTTTGTGCTGCAAAGGTTACACTTTTTGTGCAGCAAAGGTTACACATTTTGTGCTGCAAAGGTTACACTTTTTGTGCAGCAAAGGTTACACTTTTTGTGCTGCAAAGGTTACACTTTTTGTGCAGCAAAGGTTACACATTTTGTGCTGCAAAGGTTACACTTTTTGTGCAGCAAAGGTTACACTTTTTGTGCTGCAAAGGTTACACTTTTTGTGCAGCAAAGGTTACACTTTTTGTGCTGCAAAGGTTACACTTTTTGTGCAGCAAAGGTTACACATTTTGTGCTGCAAAGGTTACACTTTTTGTGCAGCAAAGGTTACACTTTTTGTGCTGCAAAGGTTACACTTTTTGTGCAGCAAAGGTTACACATTTTGTGCTGCAAAGGTTACACTTTTTGTGCAGCAAAGGTTACACTTTTTGTGCTGCAAAGGTTACACTTTTTGTGCAGCAAAGGTTACACTTTTTGTGCTGCAAAGGTTACACTTTTTGTGCTGCAAAGGTTACACTTTTTGTGCTGCAAAGGTTACACATTTTGTGCTGCAAAGGTTACACTTTTTGCGCTGCAAAGGTTACACTTTTTGCGCTGCAAAGGTTACACTTTTTGCGCTGCAAAGGTTACACTTTTTGTGCTGCAAAGGTTACACTTTTTGTGCTGCAAAGGTTACACTTTTTGTGCTGCAAAGGTTACACTTTTTGTGCTGCAAAGGTTACACTTTTTGTGCTGCAAAGGTTACACTTTTTGTGCTGCAAAGGTTACACTTTTTGTGCTGCAAAGGTTACACTTTTTGTGCTGCAAAGGTTACACTTTTTGTGCAGCAAAGGTTACACTTTTTGTGCTGCAAAGGTTACACTTTTTGTGCAGCAAAGGTTACACATTTTGTGCTGCAAAGGTTACACTTTTTGTGCTGCAAAGGTTAGACTTTTTGTGCTGCAAAGGTTACACTTTTTGCCTTCAGTACAAATCAAAATCGCCATTAGTTTAAATTAGTGGATCTTTAGTTGGTTGTTTTATATTAAGGTCGAGGGGCCAATGTGGTCTTCTAACAAATATATATATAATATATGTTAATACAATTGATTTCTTTAACAACACTTGCTGGAGAAACCATACATTATACGTTAATACAATTTATTTTTTTATTAAGGGCTAAACAGTCAGGTTGAACATCCTTCCCATTCGCGTTGGCAAAAATAATCAAATGGTCAGAAGGTGCTTGACAAATCAAAATGTTGATTTTACAGAAAGTGGCTATTTCTAGTATCTATTTCAGGAAGTGGCTAACTACTTCAAGTATCTATTTCAGAAAGTGGCTAATTACTTCAATTATCTATTTCAGGAAGTGGCTCACTACTTCTAATGTCTATTTCAGGAAGTAGCTAACTACTTCAAATATCTATTTCAAGAAGTGGCTAACAACTTCAATTATCTATTTCAGGAAGTGGCTAACTACCTAGCTAAGATGAGTGTAATTGCATGTGGGAGACTTGCAGGATTCTTCAGTAATGAAAGTGAGCTGAGCACTCCAGACAATCCATCAGTGAAGAAGTCCTTATATTCACTTCTGACCCCGTACCTGGCCAGAAAACTGTCCAATGAAAGTCCTGTTGAAGTATGTTAATTCCTTATATTCACTACTGACCCCCAGAAAATTGTCCAATGAAAGTCCTGTTGAAGTATGTTAATTCCTTATATTCACTACTGACCCCCAGAAAATTGTCCAATGAAAGTCCTGTTGAAGTATGTTAATTCCTTATATTCACTACTGACCCCCAGAAAATTGTCCAATGAAAGTCCTGTTGAGGTATGTTAATTCCTTATATTCACTACTGACCCCCAGAAAATTGTCCAATGAAAGTCCTGTTGAGGTATCTTAATTCCTTATATTCACTACTGACCCCCAGAAAACTGTCCAATGAAAGTCCTGTTGAGGTATGTTAATTCCTTATATTCACTTCTGACCCCGTACCTGGCCAGAAAACTGTCCAATGAAAGTCCTGTTGAAGTATGTTAATTCCTTATATTCACTACTGACCCCCAGAAAATTGTCCAATGAAAGTCCTGTTGAAGTATGTTAATTCCTTATATTCACTACTGACCCCCAGAAAATTGTCCAATGAAAGTCCTGTTGAGGTATGTTAATTCCTTATATTCACTACTGACCCCCAGAAAATTGTCCAATGAAAGTCCTGTTGAGGTATCTTAATTCCTTATATTCACTACTGACCCCCAGAAAACTGTCCAATGAAAGTCCTGTTGAGGTATGTTAATTCCTTATATTCACTTCTGACCCCGTACCTGGCCAGAAAACTGTCCAATGAAAGTCCTGTTGAAGTATGTTAATTCCTTATATTCACTACTGACCCCCAGAAAACTGTCCAATGAAAGTCCTGTTGAGGTATGTTAATTCCTTATATTCACTTCTGACCCCGTACCTGGCCAGAAAACTGTCCAATGAAAGTCCTGTTGAAGTATGTTAATTCCTTATATTCACTACTGACCCCCAGAAAATTGTCCAATGAAAGTCCTTTTGAAGTATGTTAATTCCTTATATTCACTACTGACCCCCAGAAAATTGTCTAATGAAAGTCCTGTTGAGGTATCTTAATTCCTCATATTCACTACTGACCCCCAGAAAATTGTCCAATGAAAGTCCTGTTGAGGTATCTTAATTCCTTATATTCACTACTGACCCCCAGAAAATTGTCCAATGAAAGTCCTGTTGAAGTATGTTAATTCCTTATATTCACTACTGACCCCCAGAAAATTGTCCAATGAAAGTCCTGTTGAGGTATCTTAATTCCTTATATTCACTACTGACCCCCAGAAAATTGTCCAATGAAAGTCCTTTTGAAGTATGTTAATTCCTTATATTCACTACTGACCCCCAGAAAATTGTCCAATGAAAGTCCTGTTGAAGTATGTTAATTCCTTATATTCACTACTGACCCCCAGAAAATTGTCCAATGAAAGTCCTGTTGAAGTATGTTAATTCCTTATATTCACTACTGACCCCCAGAAAATTGTCCAATGAAAGTCCTGTTGAGGTATCTTAATTCCTTATATTCACTACTGACCCCCAGAAAATTGTCCAATGGAAGTCCTGTTGAGGTATGTTAATTCCTTATATTCACTACTGACCCCCAGAAAATTGTCCAATGAAAGTCCTGTTGAGGTATGTTAATTCCTTATATTCACTACTGACCCCCAGAAAATTGTCCAATGAAAGTCCTGTTGAAGTATGTTAATTCCTTATATTCACTACTGACCCCCAGAAAATTGTCCAATGAAAGTCCTGTTGAAGTATGTTAATTCCTTATATTCACTACTGACCCCCAGAAAATTGTCCAATGAAAGTCCTTTTGAAGTATGTTAATTCCTTATATTCACTACTGACCCCCAGAAAATTGTCCAATGAAAGTCCTGTTGAGGTATCTTAATTCCTTATATTCACTACTGACCCCCAGAAAATTGTCCAATGAAAGTCCTGTTGAAGTATGTTAATTCCTTATATTCACTACTGACCCCCAGAAAATTGTCCAATGAAAGTCCTTTTGAAGTATGTTAATTCCTTATATTCACTACTGACCCCCAGAAATTTGTCTAATGAAAGTCCTGTTGAGGTATCTTAATTCCTTATATTCACTACTGACCCCCAGATAATTGTCCAATGAAAGTCCTGTTGAAGTATCTTAATTCCTTATATTCACTACTGACCCCATATCTGGCCCAAAAATTGCTCAACTGTTTAAACTGGTTGGTTTAACTGTCTAGTCATTGTTTGACCTGTGTAGTTATGGTTTAACTGGCTAGAGCTGATTTAACTGTCTAGTCATGGTTTAACTGTCTAGTCATGATTTAACTGTCTAGTCATGGTTTAACTGTCTAGTCATGGTTTAACTGTCTAGTCATGGTTTAACTTGCTGGTCATGGTTTAACTGTCTAGTCATGGTTTAACTTGCTAGAGCTGATTTAACTGTCTAGTCATGGTTTAACTGTCTAGTCATGGTTTAACTTGCTGGTCATGGTTTGACTGTCTAGTCATGGTTTGACTGTCTAGTCATGGTTTGACTGTCTAGTCATGGTTTAACTGTCTAGTCATGATTTAACTGTCTAGTCATGGTTTAACTGTCTAGTCATGGTTTAACTGTCTAGTCATGGTTTAACTGTCTAGTCATGGTTTAACTGTCTAGTCATCTGTACTTGCTGTTTGTTTTCAGTGTGGTGCAGGCAGTAGGGCTGAGTGGGTAAGATATCACTATTGTCACATTCATTGTGTCATTAGATATCACTATTGTCACATTTATGTAGAGAATGCTAGCCTTTTGCTTTGTGTCATTAGATATCACTATTGTCACATTTATGTAGAGAATGCTAGCCTTTTGCTTTGTGTCATTAGATATCACTATTGTCACATTCATTGTGTCATTAGATATCACTATTGTCACATTTATTTAGAGAATGCTTTTTGCTTTGTGTCATTAGATATCACTATTGTCACATTTATTGTATCATTAGATATCACTATTGTCACATTCATTGTGTCATTAGATATCACTATTGTCACATTCATGTAGAGAATGCTAGCCTTTTGCTTTGTGTCATTAGATATCACTATTGTCACATTTATTGTATCATTAGATATCACTATTGTCACATTTATTGTATCATTAGATATCACTATTGTCACATTAATTGTGTCATTAGATATCACTATTGTCACATTCATGTAGAGAATGCTAGCCTTTTGCTTTGTGTCATTAATACATCTATCTTATATATTTTTATCTATAATAATAGTTTCACTTTCTGTGTGTATCTCTCTATCTGTAGGGAATGCTATAGAGAAACATAAGGAAAGTAAAAACATTCATTTCCATATGAAAAACAAAATGTGACGTCACATGGAACATATAGTAGGAAATATTCTAAAGCCGAAAAAATACACACAATAAAATGATGTAATTAATTCTAGAGTAAACATTGAATTAAAAAGCCAATGTAGAAAAAACACACAATAGTAATTGCGTCATGGAGCTTATATAATAAAAAAACTGACATTACTGCCTAATTCATGTGTCTAATCTTAAAAGTGTTGTGCGTGCAGAGTTTCTTTCATGCATCTCTGTTCGTCCTTTGAAATATTCGGGGGTGGGGGGTGGACCGAATTTTCTTGGACACTGGTACAAATATATACTTTCTATATAAATTGTATTTCGTTAAGGGGACATGCTTCAAGGGGTGGGGTGGGGGGGAGGGGGTGAGAGTCAGCTCAAAGAAACTCTGACTTTTGTCAGGTTTGATCTTATGTGCAAGGTTTAGGGGTATGACTAAAGAAATGCTGAATCTAGATAAAAATCAGTTTTTAATCAAATAAATTTCCATTTCTGTCTAAATTACCGGATCGGGTTGGATTAATTTCCTTTTATGGTTTAATTTCTGAATCCGTTAAAACTACAGATTCCAAATAAAGTTCTTTTCTTTAATTCAATTTTGTTTCCTGTAAAATTTACAGTTATGATTAAATTTTTATTTTTGGTCAAAGTTATTGTTCCTGGAAAATTTCCTTTTGAAGTGTCCGGTTCTGGTAAATGTTTGGGCTGAGGTTGAATTTCCAATTTCTGTAAAATTCAAAACCAGTTTCCTCTTGAAGTGTCGTGGAGATATTATTACTGTTTAATGTCAGTTTCCTCTTGAAGTGGCGTGGAGATATTAGTACTGTTTAATGTCAGTTTCCTCTTGAAGTGTCGTGGAGATATTATTCCTGTTTAATGTCAGTTTCCTCTTGAAGTGTCCTGGAGATATTAGTACTGTTTAATGTCAGTTTCCTCTTGAAGTGTCGTGGAGATATTAGTACTGTTTAATGTCAGTTTCCTTTTGAAGTGGCGTGGAGATATTATTACTGTTTAATGTCAGTTTCCTCTTAAAGTGTCCTGGAGATATTATTACTGTTTAATATCAGTTTCCTCTTAAAGTGTCCTGGAGATATTATTACTGTTTAATGTCAGTTTCCTCTTGAAGTGTCCTGGAGATATTATTACTGTTTAATGTCAGTTTCCTCTTGAAGTGTCCTCGAGATATTATTACTGTTTTTGTTTAATCTTTGGTTTAAACTGAGGTTAAGGTGGGGATTTTGGTTTCAGTTTAGAGAAGAAGAAAAACACTATCAACCTAGCAGCCGTTCTATTTCCTCCTCAACCGGCCGATCATCTAGTTAATAGCTTTTGCTTTTGCTATTGACACATTATAAATATTGTAACAGTTATGTAGAAAACAGTAGCCTTTTGCTTTGTGCCATTAATACATTCATAAATATTGTAACAGTTATGTAGAGAAGGCTAGCCTTTAGCATTTCGCCAGACTAGAATTGTATTTAGCCTTGTATTCTTTAGTTCCACATTGAACATATGTGAGAGTAGGATAGGCTAGGGTAAAGTATGCTAGAGTAGGATAGGCTAGGGTAAAGTATGCTAGAGTAGGATAGGCTAGGGTAAAGTATGCTAGAGTATATGTGAGAGTAGGATAGGCTAGGGTAAAGTATGCTAGAGTAGGATAGGCTAGGGTAAAGTATGCTAGAGTATATGGTAGAGTAGGATAGGCTAGGGTAAAGTATGCTAGAGTATATGGTAGAGTAGGATAGGCTAGGGTAAAGTATGCTAGAGTAAATGGTAGAGTAGGATAGGCTAGGGTAAAGTATGCTAGAGTATATGGTAGAGTAGGATAGGCTAGGGTAAAGTATGATAGAGTATAGAGTTGGATAGGCTAGGTTAAAGTATGCTAGAGTAGGATAGGCTAGGGTAAAGTATGCTAGAGTATATGGTAGAGTAGAGTAGGCTAGGGTAAAGTATGCTAGAGTAGGATAGGCTAGGGTAAAGTATGCTAGAGTAGGATAGGCTAGGGTAAAGTATGCTAGAGTAGGATAGGCTAGGGTAAAGTATGCTAGAGTAGGATAGGCTAGGGTAAAGTATGCTAGAGTAGGATAGGCTAGGGTAAAGTATGCTAGAGTAGGATAGGCTAGGGTAAAGTATGTTACATTAAGCTGACAAAAAAGCTTGACTGAACATAAATGCTGAGTACTTGAAAAAAATATCACCTAACTTCTTATTTGTTTCAAGAGCTGGATACAATGAATAATTCAGCCTAAATGTAGCATTTTTCTAACAGTTAAACTGATTTATATTTTGCATGTTTTCTAACAGTCAAACTGATTTATATGTTGCATGTTTTCTAACAGTTAAACTGTGAACTATAGATTGCATGTTTTCTAACAGTTAAACTGATTTATATATTGTATGTTTTCTAACAGTTAAACTGTGATTTATGTTTTGCATCTTTTTTGTGAACAAGGAATGCTTGTAGAGCACCAATAAAAGCAAATAGAAATGCTAAGTTTGTAGCAGTGTAACCACTTTTAACTAACCCTAACCCTGACCCAAAGATTTGCTGTTTGTTTCAGCTGTTGAAAATTTTAAACAGCAATACAGAAAATCCATACCTGATGTGGGACAATGGTACAAGAGCACAGCTATGTGAATACCTTGGTGACCAACAGCAAAATATTATCAAAACTGTGAGTTCTTTATTAGCAACATTGGACTCAAATCTAGATCAATCACAAAATACTAGTAGCATAATATCAAAAACATTACAGTAAATATACAGAATACAAATTTGTAAAAAAGATAAAGTTTAGTTTAAGTAAATAAATCTGCTGAGTTGGTGTATTGTTGTAAAGTGTCCTGTTGTAATATTGTAAAGTTGTGTTGTTGTAAAGTGTCCTTTTGTGTTGTTGTAAAGTGTCCTGTTGTGTTGTTGTAAAGTGTCCTGTTGTGTTCCTGTAAAGTTGTGTTGTTGTAAAGTGTCCTGTTGTGTTGTTGTAAAGTGTCCTGTTGTGTTCCTGTAAAGTTGTGTTGTTGTAAAGTGTCCTGTTGTGTTGTTGTAAAGTGTCCTTTTGTGTTGTTGTAAAGTTGTGTTGTTGTAAAGTGTCTTGCAGTGTTATGTAAAGTGTCCTGTTGTGTTCCTGTAAAGTTCTCTGCTGTGTTTGTGTTAAGTCTTATATTTAAAGGCAAGAATCTGTCCTTAGGGTGAGTGTGATCCCAGCTATGGAGCCACCTTTGTTTTTGAAATACACAGCAAAGAACTGATAGTTGGAGAGATATTTGTCAGGATCTTCAATGAACAACCTACTTTTGTTCTTGAGGTACTGTTGCCAGAGGTCTATTTGTTAAGACTTAAGTCTCCTGGGCTATCATAATTAGTTGAAACACTGCTTCATTTCTCTTTTCAGAATCCCAAGGGCTTTACCATAGATCTACTGGACTTTCTAGGGTCACAAGCTCAGGTTTGTTAAAGCAATCATTTTGTCTCCATCTTGTTTAGGATCAGCTTGTTGTCTAGTGTTTGGGTTTGTGGCTCTTCATTTCTCCGATGTAGCTGTGCCACTGCCTCAGTGGGTATGGCAGTGGAGGTCTCCTGCATGGGTTGAGTGCAGAACAGACTCTTTGTTGTTAACAAATCTTGATAGAATACCAACAGAACAGACTCTTTGTTGTTAACAAATCTTGATAGAATACCAACAGAACAAACTCTTTGTTGATAACAAATCTTGATAGAATACCAACAGAACAGACTCTTTGTTGTTAACAAATCTTGATAGAATACCAACAGAACAGACTCTTTGTTGTTAACAAATCTTGATAGAATACCAACAGAACAAACTCTTTGTTGATAACAAATCTTGATAGAATACCAACAGAACAGACTCTTTGTTGTTAACAAATCTTGATAGAATACCAACAGAACAAACTCTTTGTTGTTAACAAAACTTGATAGAATACCAACAGAACAGACTCTTTGTTGTTAACAAATCTTGATAGAATACCAACAGAACAGACTCTTTGTTGTTAACAAATCTTGATAGAATACCAACAGAACAGACTCTTTGTTGTTAACAAAACTTGATAGAATACCAACAGAACAGACTCTTTGTTGTTAACAAATCTTGATAGAATACCAACAGAACAGACTCTTTGTTGATAACAAATCTTGATAGAATACCAACAGAACAGACTCTTTGTTGTTAACAAATCTTGATAGAATACCAACAGAACAGACTCTTTGTTGTTAACAAAACTTGATAGAATACCAACAGAACAAACTCTTTGTTGTTAACAAATCTTGATAGAATACCAACAGAACAGACTCTTTGTTGTTAACAAATCTTGATAGAATACCAACAGAACAAACTCTTTGTTGTTAACAAATCTTGATAGAATACCAACAGAACAGACTCTTTGTTGTTAACAAATCTTGATAGAATACCAACAGAACAGACTCTTTGTTGTTAACAAATCTTGATAGAATACCAACAGAACAGACTCTTTGTTGTTAACAAATCTTGATAGAATACCAACAGAACAGACTCTTTGTTGTTAACAAATCTTGATAGAATACCAACAGAACAAACTCTTTATTGTTAACAAATCTTGATAGAATACCAACAGAACAAACTCTTTGTTGTTAACAAATCTTGATAGAATACCAACAGAACAGACTCTTTGTTGTTAACAAATCTTGATAGAATACCAACAGAACAGACTCTTTGTTGTTAACAAATCTTGATAGAATACCAACAGAACAGACTCTTTGTTGTTAACAAATCTTGATAGAATACCAACAGAACAGACTCTTTGTTGTTAACAAATCTTGATAGAATACCAACAGAACAAACTCTTTATTGTTAACAAATCTTGATAGAATACCAACAGAACAGACTCTTTGTTGTTAACAAATGAATCACACTATAATGTGCACAGTGTAGACATCCTGATTACAAAGGCTGTGACTCATTACAACGGGGTTTATAGCCATCCTGATTGTGACAGATGACAATGGGGTTTATAGCCATCCTGTGTACTCAGATGTTGGGAGTTTGACCACGTCAGTCACAATGAAACTTATGAAACAGCCTAGACATCTAATTTCAGTTTAATTTAAATTGTCTTCACATTGTTTCACATACCTGCTTGTCTCTACTTTCAATGCTTAGATTTCTTGTACTTGAACTAGTCCATATAGAAATGGTTACCCTTCATTTGGTCTCTACTTTCAATGCTTAGATTTCTTGTACTTGAACTAGTCCATATAGAAATAGTTACCCTTTATTTGGTCTCTACTTTCAATGCTTAGATTTCTTGTACTTGAACTAGTCCATATAGAAATGGTTACCCTTTATTTGGTCTCTACTTTCAATGCTTAGATTTCTTGTACTTGAACTAGTCCATATAGAAATGGTTACCCTTCATTTGGTCTCTACTTTCATTTTACTGATGCTTAATATGGAGATGTCTATGACATAAATGATGGTAGTGCACTGATAAGGAAAGTTCTATATTTAGCATACCAGAGTGCCTACCAAATAAATAGTGAAAACCCTAGTAAGCACATATTGAATTCTTCTATAGCACCAACAGGTTAGCTAGTCTGTCAACAAAAATAAAAAAATAAACATGGACATAGCTACATCTATCAATAAAAACAATCATTAATTTGTGATGCCACAATAGAATCTCTATGATCTCATCATTAAGAATAGTTTATAAGTGAAATATTACATTTTAAAAATAAAATATTGTTTGGTTTTTATTGTGATTATTAATTGTTGTGTATTGTTATACTTGATAGATATTGCCCTGAATGTTTAAACAATGTAATTTCTATTAAATTTTAAAGAAAAATGATTGTATAGAACAGACTAAACTGACTTTTAATAAATCAATTGTAAAAAACCTTTCCAACAGCAAGCTTTTAAATGCACTGAAAAAAGAAAATAAAACTAGTTTGTTTTCTTTCATAAAAGCTTTGCTTACTTTTGAGATAATTACATATTTTAGTGGTCTACTTAGTGTTATCAATTCTATTTCATGTTTTTTATATTGTCTAATGTTTGTCTAATTAAAGTTTGTTGTAAAAAGGTGTATGATCAAAATGTAATTTTTTTCTCAGTATCTCCATTCTCTACTGATGCTGCAACAACAACAGCTAGCCAGCCCGTCAACTGACCATTTAACTAGACTTGCTCAGATAGAGATGGCTCTTGAGGCTTTGAGAAACATCATTAAGGCCAGTCCAGGTCAGTGCGGCAAGCCAACAGTTGGACGCTGTGGTCAGGGCACTTGACACTGTTGTCACACAAGGCACTTGACACTGTTGTCAGGACACTTGACACTGTGGTCAGGGCACTTGACACTGTTGTCAGGGCACTTGACACTGTTGTCACACAGGGCACTTGACACTGTTGTCACACAGGGCACTTGACACTGTTGTCAGGACACTTGACACTGTGGTCAGGGCACTTGACACTGTTGTCACACAGGGCACTTGACACTGTTGTCACACAGGACACTTGACACTGTTGTCACACAGGGCACTTGACACTGTTGTCAGGACACTTGACACTGTGGTCAGGGCACTTGACACTGTTGTCACACAGGGCACTTGACACTGTTGTCACACAGGACACTTGACACTGTTGTCACACAGGGCACTTGACACTGTTGTCACACAGGGCACTTGACACTGTTGTCACACAGGGCACTTGACACTGTTGTCAGGACACTTGACACTGTGGTCAGGGCACTTGACACTGTTGTCACACAGGGCACTTGACACTGGACACTGTGGGGTGGGTCTAGTTGACTGGACACTGTGGGGTGGGTCTAGTTGACTGGACACTGTGGGGTGGGTCTAGTTGACTGGACACTGTGGGGTGGGTCTAGTTGACTGGACACTGTGGGATGGGTCTAGTTGACTGGACACTGTGGGGTGGGTCTAGTTGACTGGACACTGTGGGGTGGGTCTAGTTGACTGGACACTGTGGGGTGGGTCTAGTTGACTGGACACTGTGGGGTGGGTCTAGTTGACTGGACACTGTGGGGTGGGTCTAGTTGACTGGACACTGTGGGGTGGGTCTAGTTGACTGGACACTGTGGGGTGGGTCTAGTTGACTGGACACTGTGGGGTGGGTCTAGTTGACTGGACACTGTGGGGTGGGTCTAGTTGACTGGACACTGTGGGGTGGGTCTAGTTGACTGGACACTGTGGGGTGGGTCTAGTTGACTGGACACTGTGGGGTGGGTCTAGTTGACTGGACACTGTGGGGTGGGTCTAGTTGACTGGACACTTTGGGGTGTGTCTAGTTGACTGGACACTGTGGGGTGGGTCTAGTTGACTGGACACTTTGGGGTGGGTCTAGTTGACTGGACACTGTGGGGTGGGTCTAGTTGACTGGACACTGTGGGGTGGGTCTAGTTGACTGGACACTGTGGGGTGGGTCTAGTTGACTGGACACTGTGGGGTGGGTCTAGTTGACTGGACACTGTGGGGTGGGTCTAGTTGACTGGACACTGTGGGGTGGGTCTAGTTGACTGGACACTGTGGGGTGGGTCTAGTTGACTGGACACTGTGGGGTGGGTCTAGTTGACTGGACACTGTGGGGTGGGTCTAGTTGACTGGACACAAGACTTAAACCATTTACTCCCTTACAGGTGTAGAAATCCAATGTATCGGCCACTTTAAACTGTTGTTTGCTCTGCTACGGATGGAGGAGTTTTCTAGACTACAACAGTTCACTATAGAGGTTAGTGGTGGTCACACTATAGAGGTTAGTGGTGGTCACACTTTAGAGGTTAGTGGTGGTCACACTATAGAGGTTAGTGGTGGTTAGACTATAGAGGTTAGTGGTGGTCACACTATAGAGGTTAGTGGTGGTCACACTATAGAGGTTAGTGGTGGTCACACTATAGAGGTTAGTGGTGGTCACACTATAGAGGTTAGTGGTGGTCACACTATAGAGGTTAGTGGTGGTCACACTGTAGAGGTTAGTGGTGGTTAGACTATAGAGGTTAGTGGTGGTCACACTATAGAGGTTAGTGGTGGTTAGACTATAGAGGTTAGTTTCCATTGAATAGCTTGTACCTAGCCTACAAGTATTGAATGTGTAATATCTTGTGGATTCTCCAGGTAATCAATTGTGTCACAGCCAACCAAGAATGTGTCAAAGATATTGCAGCATCTGAGGTGCTTGGCTACCTACTCTTTTCATTACAAAGTGTTCCATCCTGTAAGTTCTTTATATCTAGTTGTATCATGTCAGTTCTGTGTGTCCAGTTGTATCATGTCAGTTCTGTGTGTCCAGTTGTATTGTGTCAGTTCTTTGTTCAGTTGTATTGTGTCAGTTCTGTGTGTCCAGTTGTATCATGTCAGTTCTGTGTGTCCAGTTGTATTGTGTCAGTTCTGTGTGTCCAGTTGTATTGTGTCAGTTCTGTGTGTCCAGTTGTATTGTGTCAGTTCTGTGTGTCCAGTTGTATTATGTCAGTTCTGTGTGTCCAGTTGTATTGTGTCAGTTCTGTGTGTCCAGTTGTATCATGTCAGTTCTGTGTCCAGTTGTATCATGTCAGTTCTGTGTGTCCAGTTGTATTGTGTCAGTTCTGTGTGTCCAGTTGTATTGTGTCAGTTCTTTGTCCAGTTGTATCATGTCAGTTCTGTGTGTCCAGTTGTATCATGTCAGTTCTGTGTGTCCAGTTGTATTATGTCAGTTCTGTGTGTCCAGTTGTATTGTGTCAGTTCTGTGTGTCCAGTTGTATCATGTCAGTTCTGTGTCCAGTTGTATCATGTCAGTTCTGTGTGTCCAGTTGTATTGTGTCAGTTCTGTGTGTCCAGTTGTATTGTGTCAGTTCTTTGTCCAGTTGTATCATGTTAGTTCTGTGTGTCCAGTTGTATCATGTCAGTTCTGTGTGTCCAGTTGTATCATGTCAGTTCTGTGTGTCCAGTTTTATCTTGTCAGTTCTGGTTGTCCAGTTGTATCATGTCAGTTATGTGTGTCCAGTTGTATTGTGTCAGTTCTGTGTGTCCAGTTGTATCATGTCAGTTCTGTGTGTCCAGTTGTATCATGTCTGTTCTGTGTGTCCAGTTGTATTGTGTCAGTTCTTTGTCCAGTTGTATCATGTCAGTTCTGTGTGTCCAGTTGTATCATGTCAGTTCTGTGTGTCCAGTTGTATTATGTCAGTTCTGTGTGTCCAGTTGTATTGTGTCAGTTCTGTGTGTCCAGTTGTATCATGTCAGTTCTGTGTCCAGTTGTATCATGTCAGTTCTGTGTGTCCAGTTGTATTGTGTCAGTTCTGTGTGTCCAGTTGTATTGTGTCAGTTCTTTGTCCAGTTGTATCATGTCAGTTCTGTGTGTCCAGTTGTATCATGTCAGTTCTGTGTGTCCAGTTGTATCATGTCAGTTCTGTGTGTCCAGTTGTATTGTGTCAGTTCTGTGTCTCCAGTTGTATCATGTCAGTTCTCTGTGTGTCCAGTTGTATCATGTCAGTTCTCTGTGTGTCCAGTTGTATCATGTCAGTTCTGTGTGTCCAGTTGTATTATGTCAGTTCTGTGTGTCCAGTTGTATCATGTCAGTTCTGTGTGTCCAGTTGTATTATGTCAGTTCTGTGTGTCCAGTTGTATCATGTCAGTTCTGTGTGTCCAGTTGTATTGTGTCAGTTCTGTGTGTCCAGTTGTATTGTGTCAGTTCTGTGTGTCCAGTTGTATCATGTCAGTTCTGTGTGTCCAGTTGTATCATGTCAGTTCTGTGTGTCCAGTTGTATCATGTCAGTTCTGTCTCCAGTTGTATCATGTCAGTTCTGTGTGTCCAGTTGTATCATTTCAGTTCTGTGTGTCCAGTTGTATCATGTCAGTTCTGTGTGTCCAGTTGTATCATGTCAGTTCTGTCTCCAGTTGTATCATGTCAGTTCTGTGTGTCCAGTTGTATCATGTCAGTTCTGTGTGTCCAGTTGTATTGTGTCAGTTATGTGTGTCCAGTTGTATTGTGTCAGTTCTGTGTGTCCAGTTGTATCATGTCATGTTACCTGCTATGTCCTAAGCCCAGTTGTAACATGTCATGTTACCTGCTATGTCCTAAGCCCAGTTGTATCATGTCATGTTACCTGCTATGTCCTAAGCCCAGTTGTATCATGTCATGTTACCTGCTATGTCCTAAGCCCACTTGTATCATGTCATGTTACCTGCTAGTCCTAAGCCCAGTTGTATCATGTCATGTTACCTGCTATGTCCTAAGCCCACTTGTATTATGTCATGTTACCTGCTATGTCCTAAGCCCAGTTGTATCATGTCATGTTACCTGCTATGTCCTAAGCCCACTTGTATCATGTCATGTTACCTGCTATGTCCTAAGCCCACTTGTATCATGTCATGTTACCTGCTATGTCCTAAGCCCACTTGTATCATGTCATGTTACCTGCTATGTCCTAAGCCCAGTTGTATCATGTCATGTTACCTGCTATGTCCTAAGCCCACTTGTATCATGTCATGTTACCTGCTATGTCCTAAGCCCAGTTGTATCATGTCATGTTACCTGCTATATCCTCAGCCCACTTGTATCATGTCATGTTACCTGCTATGTCCTGAGCCCAGTTGTATCATGTCATGTTACCTGCTATATCCTAAGCCCACTTGTATCATGTCATGTTACCTGCTATGTCCTGAGCCCAGTTGTATCATGTCATGTTACCTGCTATGTCCTAAGCCCAGTTGTATCATGTCATGTTACCTGCTATGTCCTAAGCCCATTTGTATCATGTCATGTTACCTCCTATATCCTAAGCCCAGTTGTATCATGTCATGTTACCTCCTATATCCAAAGCCCAGTTGTATCATGTCATGTTACCTCCTATGTTCTAAGCCCTGTTGTATCATGTCATGTTACCTGTTATGTTCTAAGCCCAGTTGTATCATGTCATGTTACCTGCTATATCCTAAGCCCAGTTGTATCATGTCATGTTACCTGCTATGTCCTAAGCCCAGTTGTATCATGTCATGTTACCTCCTATATCCTAAGCCCAGTTGTATCATGTCATGTTACCTGCTATGTCCTAAGCCCAGTTGTATCATGTCATGTTACCTCCTATATCCTAAGCCCAGTTGTATCATGTCATGTTACCTCCTATATCCTAAGCCCAGTTGTATCATGTCATGTTACCTCCTATGTTCTAAGCCCTGTTGTATCATGTCATGTTACCTGTTATGTTCTAAGCCCAGTTGTATCATGTCATGTTACCTGCTATATCCTAAGCCAAGTTGTATCATGTCATGTTACCTGCTATGTTCTAAGCCCTGTTACTTGAATGTGTTTACAGGTCGTCTTCTAACATTAGACAGCCTGTTTGCTCTCATGTCCAACACTAAAATTGTCAAGGAAGCCATGACCAAAGGTAATGATTGAACTGTAACCAATGGCCAAAGGTAATGATTGAACTCTAACAATGGCCAAAGGTAATGATTGAACTGTAACCAATGGCCAAAGGTAATGATTGAACTCTAACCAATGGCCAAAGGTAATGATTGAACTCTAACCAATGGCCAAAGGTAATGATTGAACTCTAACCGATGGCCAAAGGTAATGATTGAACTCTAACCAATGGCCAAAGGTAATGATTGAACTCTAACCAATGGCCAAAGGTAATGATTGAACTCTAACCAATGGCCAAAGGTAATGATTGAACTCTAACCAATGGCCAAAGGTAATGATTGAACTGTAACCAATGGCCAAAGGTAATGATTGAACTCTAACAATGGCCAAAGGTAATGATTGAACTGTAACCAATGGCCAAAGGTAATGATTGAACTCTAACCAATGGCCAAAGGTAATGATTGAACTCTAACCAATGGCCAAAGGTAATGATTGAACTCTAACCGATGGCCAAAGGTAATGATTGAACTCTAACCAATGGCCAAAGGTAATGATTGAACTCTAACCAATGGCCAAAGGTAATGATTGAACTCTAACCAATGGCCAAAGGTAATGATTGAACTCTAATCAATGGCCAAAGGTAATGATTGAACTCTAACCAATGGCCAAAGGTACTGATTGAACTCTAACCAATGGCCAAAGGTACTGATTGAACTCTAACCAATGGCCAAAGGTAATGATTGAACTCTAACCAATGGCCAAAGGTAATGATTGAACTCTAACCAATGGCCAAAGGTAATGATTGAACTCTAACCAATGGCCAAAGGTAATGATTGAACTCTAACCAATGGCCAAAGGTAATGATTGAACTCTAACCAATAGCCAAAGGTAATGATTGAACTCTAACCAATGGCCAAAGGTAATGATTGAACTCTAACCAATGGCCAAAGGTAATGATTGAACTCTAACCAATGGCCAAAGGTAATGATTGAACTCTAACCAATGGCCAAAGGTAATGATTGAACTCTAACCAATGGCCAAAGGTTATGATTGAACTCTAACCAATGGCCAAAGGTAATGATTGAACTCTAACCAATGGCCAAAGGTAATGATTGAACTCTAACCAATGGCCAAAGGTAATGATTGAACTCTAACCAATGGCCAAAGGTAATGATTGAACTCTAACCAATGGCCAAAGGTAATGATTGAACTCTAACCAATGGCCAAAGGTACTGATTGAATCCTAACCCATTGCCAAAGGTAGTGAGTGAATCCATATATCAAGCCATCACTTCCGTATATCATGTCATCACCTCAATATCATGTCATCACTTCCATATATCATGTCATCACTTCCATATATCATCTCACCTCCATATATCATGTCATCACTTCCATATATCATGTCATCACCTCCATATATCATGTCATCACTTCCATATATCATGTCATCACTTCCATATATCGTGTCATCACTTCCATATATCGTGTCATCACTTCCATATATCATGTCATCACTTCCATATATCATGTCATCACTTCCATATATCGTGTCATCACCTCCATATATCATGTCATCACCTCCATATATCATGTCAACACTTCCATATATCATGTCATCACTTCCATATATCATGTCATCACTTCCATATATCATGTCATCACCTCCATATATCATGTCATCACTTTCATATATCATGTCATCACTTCCATATATCATGTCATCACCTCCATATATCATGCCATCACCTCCATATATCATGTCATCACTTCCATATATCATGTCATCACTTCCATATATCATGTCATCACTTCCATATATCATGTCATCACTTCCATATATCATGTCATCACTTCCATATATCATGTCATCAATTCCATATGTCGTGTCATCACTTCCATATATCATGTCATCACTTCCATATATTGTGTCATCACTTCCATATATTATGTCATCACTTCCATTTATCAAGTCATCACCTCCATATATCATGTCATCACTTCCATATATCATGTTATCACTTCCATATATTGTTTCATCACTTCCATATATAGTGTCATCACTTCCATATATCATGTCATCACCTCCATATATCATGTCATCACCTCCATATATCATGTCATCACTTCCATATATCGTGTCATCACTTCCATATATCATGTCATCACTTCCATGTATCGTGTCATCACTTCCATATATCATGTCATCACCTCCATATATCATGTCATCACTTCCATATATCGTGTCATCACTTACATATATCGTGTCATCACTTCCATATATTGTGTCATCACCTCCATATATCATGTCATCACCTCCATATATCATGTCATCACTTCCATATATCATGTCATCACTTCCGTATATCATGTCATCACCTTCGTATATCATGTCATCACTTCCATATATCATGTCATCACTTCCATATATCATGTCATCACTTCCATATATCATGTCATCACCTCCATATATCATGTCATCACTTTCATATATCATGTCATCACTTCCATATATCATGTCATCACTTCCATATATCATGTCATCACCTCCATATATCATGTCATCACTTCCATATATCCTGTCATCACTTCCATATATCATGTCATCACTTCCATATATCATGTCATCACTTCCATATATCGTGTCATCACTTCCATATATCGTGTCATCACTTCCATATATCATGTCATCACTTCAATATATTGTGTCATCACTTCCATATATCGTGTCATCACCTACATATATCATGTCATCACTTCCATATATCATGTCATCACTTCCATATATCGTTTCATCACTTCCATATATCGTGTCATCACTTCCATATATCGTGTCATCACCTCCATATATCATGTCATCACCTCCATATATCATGTCATCACTTCCATATATCATGTCATCACTTCCATATATCATGTCATCACCTCCATATATCATGTCATCACCTCCATATATCATGTCATCACTTCCATATATCATGTCATTACCTCCATATATCATGTCATCACCTCCATATATCGTGTCATCACCTCTATATATCGTGTCATCACTTCCATATATCATGTCATCACCTCCATATATCATGTCATCACTTCCATATATCATGTCATCACCTCCATATATCATTTCATCACTTCCATATATCATGTCATCACCTCCATATATCATGTCATCACCTCCATATATCATGTCATCACTTCCATATATCATGTCATCACTTCCATATATCATGTCATCACCTCCATATATCATGTCATCACTTCCATATATCATGTCATCACTTCCATATATCATGTCATCACTTCCATATATCATGTCATCACTTCCATATATCGTGTCAGCGCCTCCATATATCATGTCATCACTTCCATATATCATGTCATCACTTCCATATATCATGTCATCACTTCCATATATCATGTCATCACTTCCATATATCATGTCATCACTTCCATATATCATGTCATCACTTCCAATTGACCTGTCACTTTACAAATGACCTTTACCTTATGATCACGTTGCTTGATCGACCTACTTGACCCTATAAACAGATTACTTGACCTATAACCTTGACCCTATAAACAGATTACTTGACCTATAACTTGACCCTATAAACAGATTACTTGACCTATAACCTTGACCCTATAAACAGATTACTTGACCTATAACTTGACCCTATAAACAGATTACTTGACCTATAACCTTGACCCTATAAACAGATTACTTGACCTATAACCTTGACCCTATAAACAGATTACTTGACCTATATCTTGACCCTATAAACAGATTACTTGACCTATAACCTTGACCCTATAAACAGATTACTTGACCTATAACTTGACCCTATAAACAGATTACTTGACCTATAACTTGACCCTATAAACAGATTACTTGACCTATAACCTTGACCCTATAAACAGATTACTTGACCTATAACCTTGACCCTATAAACAGATTACTTGACCTATAACTTGACCATATAAACAGATTACTTGACCTATAACCTTGACCCTATAAACAGATTACTTGACCTATAACCTTGACCCTATAAACAGATTACTTGACCTATAACCTTGACCCTATAAACAGATTACTTGACCTATAAACAGATTACTTGACCTATAACCTTGACCCTATAAACAGATTACTTGACCTATAACCTTGACCCTATAAACAGATTACTTGACCTATAACCTTGACCCTATAAACAGATTACTTGACCTATAACCTTGACCCTATAAACAGATTACTTGACCTATAACCTTGACCCTATAAACAGATTACTTGACCTATAACCTTGACCCTATAAACAGATTACTTGACATATAACTTGACCCTATAAACAGATTACTTGACCTATAACCTTGACCCTATAAACAGATTACTTGACCTATAACCTTGACCCTATAAACAGATTACTTGACCTATAACTTGACCCTATAAACAGATTACTTGACCTATAACCTTGACCCTATAAACAGATTACTTGACCTTATGAACAGGTTGCCTGATCTACCTGCTTGACCTTTTCTGCAACTCCACCAACCCAGCTGTGAGAGAGAAAACAGCCGAGCTGTTTGCAAAAATGTTGTCTGACAAGTTGGTTGGGCCAAAAGTCAGGATTTTGCTGGCCAAGTTTTTGCCTTCCATTTTCATGGACGCCATGAGAGATTCACCTGAAGCCGCAGTTCATATGTTTGAAGGTAGGTTTATATAGAAACCTCTTTCAGGGTAGGTTTTTACATAACCTGTGTTAAGGTAGGTTTTTATATAAACCTATTTCAAGGTAGGTTTTTACATAAACCTTTTGCTGGGTAGGTTTTTACATAAACCTGTTTAATGGTAGGTTTTTACATAAACCTTTTTCTGGGTAGGTTTTTACATAAACCTTTTTCAGGGTAAGTTTTTACATAAACCTATTTCAAGGTAGGTTTTACATAAACCTTTTTCAGGGTAGGTTTTTACATAAACCTGTTTAAGGGTAGGTTTTTACATAAACCTTTTTCAGGGTAGGTTTTTACATAAACCTTTTTCAGGGTAGGTTTTTACATAAACCTTTATACCTACATGATTCCACTGTAGCCCCACCCATGTATACAAGAAATTCCGTGCAGCGTCAAAACAACCATTGACAAACAGCCCCGACATAAAAGCCCCGTCAAATTGATCCCCTCAAAAGGGCCAGTGACAAATGAACCCTGACAAATAGGCTCCCAACATATAGGCTCCAGTCAATTTGGCTCTCGACAAAACAGCTCCTTTCAATACCACTCCTGACTAATAGGCTACCATAATTTTGGCTTCTGACTAAAAGGCCCCTGTCAATATGGTTTCCATTGAGACTAAGTCTCCCCAGCGAAACGTCCGCATTGAATATGACACCTGCCAGTGGGATCCCTTCATCAATACTCTTTAGTGTTAGCTTATCAACACTGTTAAGTAGTACAACTAATGCATCTCTTGTTCGGCAGGTCTTAATGTTTTATTATTATATCTAGTATAAGAAATAGTATGCTTTAAATTTTCAAGGGTCATCTAGCTATGACCTCCATAAAGAGTCAGTTGTTCCAGCTCAGTGTGTAGGGAGAGAGGTTCACGCTGTACATTCCTACCTGCAGTATGGAGAGAGGTTCACGCTGTACATTCCTACCTGCAGTATGGAGAGAGGTTCACGCTGTACATTCCTACCTGCAGTATGGAGAGAGGTTCACGCTGTACATTCCTACCTGCAGTATGGAGAGAGGTTCACGCTGTACATTCCTACCTGCAGTAGGGAGAGAGGTTCACGCTGTACATTCCTACCTGCAGTATGGAGAGAGGTTCACGCTGTACATTCCTACCTGCAGTAGGGAGAGAGGTTCATGCTGTACATTCCTACCTGCAGTATGGAGAGAGGTTCACGCTGTACATTCCTACCTGCAGTATGGAGAGAGGTTCACGCTGTACATTCCTACCTGCAGTATGGAGAGAGGTTCACGCTGTACATTCCTACCTGCAGTATGGAGAGAGGTTCACGCTGTACATTCCTACCTGCAGTATGGAGAGAGGTTCATGCTGTACATTCCTACCTGCAGTATGCTTGTAGGTTATCAAAACAAAATGTCTTTATCCTGTAAACATAATGTATATCATACATTTACACTTCCTTGCTCACTTTTAGGCAACAGATCTTTACTGTTGTAAATTACACATTATCAAAATTTTTAAATTGGTGGAATTTAGCTGTTAAGGGCTTGATTTGTTTGTTTAATTGGGGAGCCGGATGTTTTCCCAAAAGACACTTTCCCGAATGCCGTTTGTCCAAAGGCCGATTTTCCGAATGGACTCTTGCCTGAATGTTTAGTAAAACATGAAAAAAGATTTGATACAGGCATTTAAAAGAGGTTATAGTGATAGTGGTTTTAGGACAAAATGGTTACTTTTATGCCAATAGTATTAGTAGTCATATGATTCATTTTGTCTGGAGCCAATATGTCATGAGTCATTTATCGGGAGTAAATGTGTTGTGAGCCCTTTTGTCTGGAGCCCATTTGTGGAGGGCCTTTATGTTGGGAGCCCATTTGTCGGAAGTCTTTATGTCGGGAGCCCATTTGTCAGGAGCCAATCTGTCCTGAACATATTTCTCTGAAGACAATATGTCAGGAGTCCATTTGTTGGAAACCTATATGTCACGTGTCACTATGAAGGGAGCCCATTTGACGCGAGCCAATGTTGGGGCCATTTTGACGGGACTATTTTGACTGGATTGTTTTGTCGGGGGTCATATTGACTGGACCATTTTGTCTCGGGTCATTTTGACCGTGCACCAAGAAATGTCCCACCTATGTATACAAGAAATGCCCCACCTATGTATACAAGAAATGCCCCACCTATGTATACATGGAATGCCCCACCCGCCCATACACAAGAAATGCCCCACCTATGTATACAAGAAATGCCCCACCTATGTATACATGGAATGCCCCACCCGCCCATACACAAGAAATGCTCCATCCATATACAAAAAATACCCCACCTATGTATACAAGAAATGCCCCACCTATGTATACAAGAAATGCCCCACCTATGTATACAAGAAATGCCCCACCTATGTATACAAGAAATGCCCCACCTATGTATACAAGAAATGCCCCATCTATGTGTACAAGAAATGCCCCACCTATGTATACAAGAAATGCCCCACCTATGTATACAAGAAATGCCCCACCTCTGTATACATGGAATGCCCCACCCGCCCATACACAAGAAATGCCCCATCCATATACAAAAAATACCCCACCTATGTATACTCTCATCAACAGGTTCTCATGAAAATCCAGAGCTCATATGGAATGATGACGCCAGAGAAAAAGTTTGTAACACAGTGAAAAATTTAAGGCAAAAGTAAGTTTAGTTTAGTCAGACTTTCATACTTTTACTTCTTTTTTTTTCATATAAAATTGTATCGAGTGATTGTTGTATCAGGTGATTGTTGTATCAAGTGATTGTTGTATCAGGTGATTGTTGTATGAAATGATTGTTGTATAAAATGATTGTTGTATCAAGTGATTGTTGTATCAGGTGATTGTTGTATCAAGTGATTGTTGTATCAGGTGATTGTTGTATCAAGTGATTGTTGTATGAAATGATTGTTGTATCAAGTGATTGTTGTATCAAGTGATTGTTGTATCAGGTGATTGTTGTATCAAGTGATTGTTGTATCAGGTGATTGTTGTATCAGGTGATTGTTGTATCAGGTGATTGTTGTATCAAGTGATTGTTGTATCAGGTGATTTTTGTATCAGGTGATTGTTGTATGAAATGATTGTTGTATAAAATGATTGTTGTATCAAGTGATTGTTGTATCAGGTGATTGTTGTATCAAGTGATTGTTGTATCGAGTGATTGTTGTATCAGGTGATTGTTGTATCAGGTGATTGTTGTATCAGGTGATTGTTGTATGAAATGATTGTTGTATAAAATGATTGTTGTATCAAGTGATTGTTGTATCAGGTGATTGTTGTATCAGGTGATTGTTGTATCAGGTGATTGTTGTATAAAATGATTGTTGTATCAAGTGATTGTTGTATCAGGTGATTATTCTATCAACTGATTGTAATAGTAGTATGAAAGATTGTTGCACCAAATGGTAAAAACTCTGTACTTCCAGACACTACCAATCCCAGAAGGAAGATGCCAATGCTAAATGGAGCATGCGTGAGGATGACGAGGTGGTTTACTCTGACATCCAAGGGGAACTGGTAGTGGGGGGTGTCTTCCTGCGCCTCTTCATCTCCAACCCTGCCTGGGTACTCAGGAGGCCAAAAGAGTTTTTGACAGAACTCCTGGAACACTGGACCAAAGTCACTGCTAACCCTAACCCTGATGTTAGTTTTAGTTCAATTTCCTCTAATCTCTGTCTAACCCTGATGTTAGTTTTAGTTCAATTTCCTCTAATCTCTGTCTAACCCTGATGTTAGTTTTAGTTCAATTTCCTCTAATCTGTCTAACCCTGATGTTAGTTTTAGTTCAATTTCCTCTAATCCGTCTAACCCTGATGTTAGTTTTAGTTCAATTTCCTCTAATCTGTCTAACCCTGATGTTAGTTTTAGTTCAATTTCCTCTAATCTCTGTCTAACCCTGATGTTAGTTTTAGTTCAATTTCCTCTAATCTGTCTAACCTTGATGTTAGTTTTAGTTCAATTTTCTCTAATCTCTGTCTAACCCTGATGTTAGTTTTAGTTCAATTTCCTCTAATCTCTGTCTAACCCTGATGTTAGTTTTAGTTCAATTTCCTCTAATCTCTGTCTAACCCTGATGTTAGTTTTAGTTCAATTTCCTCTAATCTGTGTCTAACCCTGATGTTAGTTTTAGTTCAATTTCCTCTAATCTCTGTCTAACCCTGATGTTAGTTTTAGTTCAATTTTCTCTAATCTCTGTCTAACCCTGATGTTAGTTTTAGTTCAATTTCCTCTAATCTGTCTAACCCTGATGTTAGTTTTAGTTCAATTTCCTCTAATCTGTCTAACCCTGACCCTGATGTTAGTTTTAGTTCAATTTCCTCTAATCTCTGTCTAACCCTGATGTTAGTTTTAGTTCAATTTCCTCTAATCTCTGTCTAACCTTGATGTTAGTTTTAGTTCAATTTCCTCTAATCTCTGTCTAACCCTGATGTTAGTTTTAGTTCAATTTCCTCTAATCTGTCTAACCCTGATGTTAGTTTTAGTTCAATTTCCTCTAATCTCTGTCTAACCCTGATGTTAGTTTTAGTTCAATTTCCTCTAATCTCTGTCTAACCCTGATGTTAGTTTTAGTTCAATTTCCTCTAATCTGTGTCTAACCCTGATGTTAGTTTTAGTTCAATTTCCTCTAATCTGTCTAACCCTGATGCTAGTTTTAGTTCAATTTTCTCTAATCTGTGTCTAACCCTGATGTTAGTTTTAGTTCAATTTCCTCTAATCTGTCTAATCTTGATGTTAGTTTTAGTTCAATTTCCTCTAATCTCTGTCTAACCCTGATGTTAGTTTTAGTTCAATTTCCTCTAATCTGTCTAACCCTGATGTTAGTTTTAGTTCAATTTCCTCTAATCTGTCTAACCCTGATGTTAGTTTTAGTTCAATTTCCTCTAATCTGTCTAACCTTGATGTTAGTTTTAGTTCAATTTCCTCTAATCTCTGTCTAACCCTGATGTTAGTTTTAGTTCAATTTCCTCTAATCTGTCTAACCCTGATGTTAGTTTTAGTTCAATTTCCTCTAATCTCTGTCTAACCCTGATGTTAGTTTTAGTTCAATTTCCTCTAATCTCTGTCTAACCCTGATGTTAGTTTTAGTTCAATTTCCTCTAATCTCTGTCTAACCCTGATGTTAGTTTTAGTTCAATTTCCTCTAATCTCTGTCTAACCCTGATGTTAGTTTTAGTTCAATTTCCTCTAATCTGTCTAACCCTGATGTTAGTTTTAGTTCAATTTCCTCTAATCTCTGTCTAACCCTGATGTTAGTTTTAGTTCAATTTCCTCTAATCTGTCTAACCCTGATGTTAGTTTTAGTTCAATTTCCTCTAATCTCTGTCTAACCCTGATGTTAGTTTTAGTTCAATTTCCTCTAATCTGTCTAATCTTGATGTTAGTTTTAGTTCAATTTCCTCTAATCTCTGTCTAACCCTGATGTTAGTTTTAGTTCAATTTCCTCTAATCTGTCTAACCCTGATGTTAGTTTTAGTTCAATTTCCTCTAATCTGTCTAACCCTGATGTTAGTTTTAGTTCAATTTCCTCTAATCTGTCTAACCTTGATGTTAGTTTTAGTTCAATTTCCTCTAATCTCTGTCTAACCCTGATGTTAGTTTTAGTTCAATTTCCTCTAATCTGTCTAACCCTGATGTTAGTTTTAGTTCAATTTCCTCTAATCTGTCTAACCTTGATGTTAGTTTTAGTTCAATTTCCTCTAATCTCTGTCTAACCCTGATGTTAGTTTTAGTTCAATTTCCTCTAATCTGTCTAACCCTGATGTTAGTTTTAGTTCAATTTCCTCTAATCTCTGTCTAACCCTGATGTTAGTTTTAGTTCAATTTCCTCTAATCTCTGTCTAACCCTGATGTTAGTTTTAGTTCAATTTCCTCTAATCTCTGTCTAACCCTGATGTTAGTTTTAGTTCAATTTCCTCTAATCTCTGTCTAACCCTGATGTTAGTTTTAGTTCAATTTCCTCTAATCTGTCTAACCCTGATGTTAGTTTTAGTTCAATTTCCTCTAATCTCTGTATAACCCTGATGTTAGTTTTAGTTCAATTTCCTCTAATCTGTCTAACCCTGATGTTAGTTTTAGTTCAATTTCCTCTAATCTGTCTAACCCTGATGTTAGTTTTAGTTCAATTTCCTCTAATCTCTGTCTAACCTTGATGTTAGTTTTAGTTCAATTTCCTCTAATCTGTCTAACCCTGATGTTAGTTTTAGTTCAATTTCCTCTAATCTGTCTAACCTTGATGTTAGTTTTAGTTCAATTTTCTCTAATCTCTGTCTAACCCTGATGTTAGTTTTAGTTCAATTTCCTCTAATCTCTGTCTAACCCTGATGTTAGTTTTAGTTCAATTTCCTCTAATCTGTCTAACCCTGATGTTAGTTTTAGTTCAATTTCCTCTAATTTTTGTCTAACCCTGATGTTAGTTTTAGTTCAATTTCCTCTAATCTGTCTAACCCTGATGTTAGTTTTAGTTCAATTTCCTCTAATCTCTGTCTAACCTTGATGTTAGTTTTAGTTCAATTTCCTCTAATCTGTCTAACCCTGATGTTAGTTTTAGTTCAATTTCCTCTAATCTCTGTCTAACCCTGATGTTAGTTTTAGTTCAATTTCCTCTAATCTGTCTAACCCTGATGTTAGTTTTAGTTCAATTTCCTCTAATCTCTGTCTAACCCTGATGTTAGTTTTAGTTCAATTTCCTCTAATCTCTGTCTAACCCTGATGTTAGTTTTAGTTCAATTTCCTCTAATCTGTGTCTAACCCTGATGTTAGTTTTAGTTCAATTTCCTCTAATCTGTCTAACCCTGATGTTAGTTTTAGTTCAATTTCCTCTAATCTCTGTCTAACCCTGATGTTAGTTTTAGTTCAATTTCCTCTAATCTGTCTAACCCTGATGTTAGTTTTAGTTCAATTTCCTCTAATCTGTCTAACCCTGATGTTAGTTTTAGTTCAATTTCCTCTAATCTCTGTCTAACCTTGATGTTAGTTTTAGTTCAATTTCCTCTAATCTGTCTAACCCTGATGTTAGTTTTAGTTCAATTTCCTCTAATCTGTCTAACCTTGATGTTAGTTTTAGTTCAATTTTCTCTAATCTCTGTCTAACCCTGATGTTAGTTTTAGTTCAATTTCCTCTAATCTCTGTCTAACCCTGATGTTAGTTTTAGTTCAATTTCCTCTAATCTGTCTAACCCTGATGTTAGTTTTAGTTCAATTTCCTCTAATCTTTGTCTAACCCTGATGTTAGTTTTAGTTCAATTTCCTCTAATCTGTCTAACCCTGATGTTAGTTTTAGTTCAATTTCCTCTAATCTCTGTCTAACCTTGATGTTAGTTTTAGTTCAATTTCCTCTAATCTGTCTAACCCTGATGTTAGTTTTAGTTCAATTTCCTCTAATCTCTGTCTAACCCTGATGTTAGTTTTAGTTCAATTTCCTCTAATCTGTCTAACCCTGATGTTAGTTTTAGTTCAATTTCCTCTAATCTCTGTCTAACCCTGATGTTAGTTTTAGTTCAATTTCCTCTAATCTCTGTCTAACCCTGATGTTAGTTTTAGTTCAATTTCCTCTAATCTGTGTCTAACCCTGATGTTAGTTTTAGTTCAATTTCCTCTAATCTCTGTCTAACCCTGATGTTAGTTTTAGTTCAATTTTCTCTAATCTCTGTCTAACCCTGATGTTAGTTTTAGTTCAATTTCCTCTAATCTGTCTAACCCTGATGTTAGTTTTAGTTCAATTTCCTCTAATCTGTGTCTAACCCTGATGTTAGTTTTAGTTCAATTTCCTCTAATCTCTGTCTAACCCTGATGTTAGTTTTAGTTCAATTTCCTCTAATCTCTGTCTAACCCTGATGTTAGTTTTAGTTCAATTTCCTCTAATCTGTCTAACCCTGATGTTAGTTTTAGTTCAATTTCCTCTAATCTCTGTCTAACCCTGATGTTAGTTTTAGTTCAATTTCCTCTAATCTGTCTAACCCTGATGTTAGTTTTAGTTCAATTTCCTCTAATCTGTCTAACCCTGATGTTAGTTTTAGTTCAATTTCCTCTAATCTCTGTCTAACCTTGATGTTAGTTTTAGTTCAATTTCCTCTAATCTGTCTAACCCTGATGTTAGTTTTAGTTCAATTTCCTCTAATCTGTCTAACCTTGATGTTAGTTTTAGTTCAATTTTCTCTAATCTCTGTCTAACCCTGATGTTAGTTTTAGTTCAATTTCCTCTAATCTCTGTCTAACCCTGATGTTAGTTTTAGTTCAATTTCCTCTAATCTGTCTAACCCTGATGTTAGTTTTAGTTCAATTTCCTCTAATCTTTGTCTAACCCTGATGTTAGTTTTAGTTCAATTTCCTCTAATCTGTCTAACCCTGATGTTAGTTTTAGTTCAATTTCCTCTAATCTCTGTCTAACCTTGATGTTAGTTTTAGTTCAATTTCCTCTAATCTGTCTAACCCTGATGTTAGTTTTAGTTCAATTTCCTCTAATCTCTGTCTAACCCTGATGTTAGTTTTAGTTCAATTTCCTCTAATCTGTCTAACCCTGATGTTAGTTTTAGTTCAATTTCCTCTAATCTCTGTCTAACCCTGATGTTAGTTTTAGTTCAATTTCCTCTAATCTCTTTCTAACCCTGATGTTAGTTTTAGTTCAATTTCCTCTAATCTGTGTCTAACCCTGATGTTAGTTTTAGTTCAATTTCCTCTAATCTCTGTCTAACCCTGATGTTAGTTTTAGTTCAATTTCCTCTAATCTCTGTCTAACCCTGATGTTAGTTTTAGTTCAATTTCCTCTAATCTGTGTCTAACCCTGATGTTAGTTTTAGTTCAATTTCCTCTAATCTGTCTAACCCTGATGTTAGTTTTAGTTCAATTTCCTCTAATCTGTCTAACCCTGATGTTAGTTTTAGTTCAATTTCCTCTAATCTGTGTCTAACCCTGATGTTAGTTTTAGTTCAATTTCCTCTAATCTGTGTCTAACCCTGATGTTAGTTTTAGTTCAATTTCCTCTAATCTGTCTAATCTTGATGTTAGTTTTAGTTCAATTTCCTCTAATCTCTGTCTAACCCTGATGTTAGTTTTAGTTCAATTTCCTCTAATCTGTCTAACCCTGATGTTAGTTTTAGTTCAATTTCCTCTAATCTCTGTCTAACCCTGATGTTAGTTTTAGTTCAATTTCCTCTAATCTGTCTAACCCTGATGTTAGTTTTAGTTCAATTTCCTCTAATCTGTCTAACCCTGATGTTAGTTTGAGTTCAATTTCCTCTAATCTCTGTCTAACCCTGATGTTAGTTTTAGTTCAATTTCCTCTAATCTGTCTAACCCTGATGTTAGTTTTAGTTCAATTTCCTCTAATCTGTCTAACCTTGATGTTAGTTTTAGTTCAATTTCCTCTAATCTGTGTCTAACCCTGATGTTAGTTTGAGTTCAATTTCCTCTAATCTGTCTAACCCTGATGTTAGTTTTAGTTCAATTTCCTCTAATCTGTCTAACCCTGATGTTAGTTTTAGTTCAATTTCCTCTAATCTGTCTAACCCTGATGTTAGTTTTAGTTCAATTTCCTCTAATCTCTGTCTAACCTTGATGTTAGTTTTAGTTCAATTTCCTCTAATCTGTCTAACCCTGATGTTAGTTTTAGTTCAATTTCCTCTAATCTCTGTCTAACCCTGATGTTAGTTTTAGTTCAATTTCCTCTAATCTGTCTAACCCTGATGTTAGTTTTAGTTCAATTTCCTCTAATCTGTGTCTAACCCTGATGTTAGTTTTAGTTCAATTTCCTCTAATCTCTGTCTAACCCTGATGTTAGTTTTAGTTCAATTTCCTCTAATCTGTCTAACCCTGATGTTAGTTTTAGTTCAATTTCCTCTAATCTGTCTAACCCTAACCCTGTCAGCATGTCCAACAGTGTCTGACTACCACAATCATCTAATTCACCTGACTACCACAGTCAACTAATTCACCTGACTACCACAATCATCTAATTCACCTGACTACCACAATCAACTAATTCACCGGACTACCACAATCATCTAATTCACCTGACTACCACAATCAACTAATTCACCTGACTACCACAATCAACTAATTCACCTACTAATACAATCATCTAATTCACCTGACCAAGTTTGTCTACAACCCAATAATTTAAGTCAATCTATTTCTGTGCTCATTAAAATTTCCTATTTTATCAACATTCCTCCTAAACATAATTAAAGTTGTCAAATTTTCAATCTGGGATACCAGGGTAATGAAATGTTGATGAGCATGACCTTTGGTCACCTTAAGTAATGAAATGTTGATGAGCATGACCTTTGGTCACCTTAAGTAATGAAATGTTGATGAGCATGACCTTTGGTCACCTTAAGTAATGAAATGTTGATGAGCATGACCTTTTTTCATTGAACTTAGGGAGAAATGCTGGAGACTCTAACCACGGCCATCGTGTGTTTATTTCAAGCCCAGTCAGCCCTACTGGACCAAGTGCCCTCCCTGGGGTACATCCCCCGCGTGTTTGCAGCCATGAACTCAAAGAACAATGCCATACCTAAGTCAGCAGTACAAGTGTGCCACCAGCTGGCTTACAATGAGGTTACTCTTATTTCATCTCTTCATCATCAGATTATAAATTTGTTTGATCATTTTTATCAGCAGCAAACTGTCACATTTGTACCAGACAAAAATGTCACAATTGTATCAGAGAAAATTATCACAATAGACATGAAAAGTTGGTTCCAAATGGTTATTGCCAGAAAGAATTTTTTCAACCAAAATTGAATATTTTATAACTTGAGAAATAATTACAAAATGACTTCCAATTTTACTGGTTTAATTTGGATGAGTAGAGTCAGGGTGTCATGGTGATAGGGGATATTATGTTATTAATCTAAATAAACTGCTGTGTAACTTAGCTATACCCCATTGACCGCTATAGTGTATTTTATCATGGAAAACAATGATTATGATTTTCATTGTTTTACTCTCCCTGGCCACTTTAAGAAGGGTTGAGTGCAGTTTTTAATCAATTATTTCAATTCATGAAATAATTCTTAGCGGCTTTAAAACAGCTTATATTTAATATGAAAAGGCAAAAGTGAGTGTAATCAATAGTTTCGAGGCTGCTTTAATTTTTAAGAATAATTTTATAGCTCGCCATATTTTTAAAAATTTAAATTGAGTATGATTACATAGACTTTTCCAGCCTGTTGTACAAGATGATGCTAATTGTTTGATATTTGTGCCAATCTCAGCTGTGCATTAGGAGTATGACTAGCATTGATTGCATTGGGCCAATCAAGGGTGCCATGAGAGCAAGGAAAGATGCCATTGGACTCGCTGCTGAGGCCTTGTCCAAGATGTTTGACAAGGGGGAAGATGAGTTGGTTCAGCAGGTAGGGACATGCTGATGGAACATTGTCCTTGGTGTGATGTGAGGACATTGTCCTTGGTGTGATGTGAGGACATTGTCCTTGGTGTGGTGATGTGGGGACATTGTCCTTGGTGTGATGTGCGGACACTGTCCTTGGTGTGATGTGAGGACATTGTCCTTGGTGTGATGTGAGGACTATGTCCTTGGTGTGATGTGAGGACATTGTCCTTGGTGTGATGTGGGGACATTGTCCTTGGTGTGATGTGGGGACATTGTCCTTGGTGTGATGTGAGGACATTGTCCTTGGTGTGATGTGAGGACATTGTCCTTGGTGTGATGTGGGGACATTGTCCTTGGTGTGATGTGTTGACATTGTCCTTGGTGTGTTGTGGGGACATTGTCCTTGGTGTGATGTGGGGACATTGTCCTTGGTGTGATGTGTTGACACTGTCCTTGGTGTGATGTGAGGACATTGTCCTTGGTGTGATGTGGGGACACTGTCCTTGGTGTGATGTGAGGACAATGTCCTTGGTGTGATGTGGGGACATTTTCCTTGGTGTGATGTGGGGACATTGTCCTTGGTGTGATGTGTTGACACTGTCCTTGGTGTGATGTGGGGACATTGTCCTTGGTGTGATGTGGGGACATTGTCCTTGGTGTGATGTGGGGACATTGTCCTTGGTGTGATGTGGGGACATTGTCCTTGGTGTGATGTGAGGACATTGTCCTTGGTGTGATGTGTTGACATTGTCCTTGGTGTGATGTGGGGACATTGTCCTTGGTGTGGTGATGTGAGGACATTGTCCTTGGTGTGATGTGAGGACATTGTCCTTGGTGTGGTGATGTGGGGACATTGTCCTTGGTGTGATGTGGGGACATTGTCCTTGGTGTGATGTGGGGACATTGTTTTTGGTGTGATGTGGGGACATTGTCCTTGGTGTGGTGATGTGGGGACATTGTCCTTGGTGTGATGTGGGGACATTGTCCTTGGTGTGATGTGGGGACACTGTCCTTGTGGTATCGGGACTTTGCCCATCATATGATGACAGGGACATCCTGTTATATTTATTTTAAGCATACATATTTTAAATGTTAAGCTTTTATATATTTATTTTTATACACTAAATCTACTCTAGGCTGGAAGGGGGAAACCAGTATATATATAATAGTTTCACTATTCCCTCTGTCTATCCCCTTGTCTGTCTGTTTTTCTGTCTGACAAGAATTCTCATAAGAAAACATCAGAAAAGTAAAAAGTTTCACGGGGACAGATGGATGCATCACATAAAATGAAGAAGGAAATATCAAGCCCATATAAATAAACTTAATAAAAAGTTTAAACTCCAGTAAAGTACACAAAAAGAATGTCACTGATTGTAGAGTAAAAAAAAAAGAATTTAAAATTGAATGTAAAACAAGATACACAATAATAATGACGTCATTGATAATAGAGACACAAAATTTAAACACCTAATTTTTCAGTCCAATATTAAAAGTGTATGTAGGTATACAAATAGTAAAAAATATAGTCAACGTTGGGGTTGTTTCCTGGTTCTGCTCAAATTTCCATTGCTGTTTAATTTCCATTTCAGGTATTTAATTTCCTGCTCACTTTGCCTTCTTTGAAATTTCATATCCGATAAGATTTACAGATCTGGGCTAAATGCCATCCCAGATAAAGTTCTGTTTCTTGATAAAATAACATTTCTAGTTAAATTTTATTTCCAGATAAATTTAAAGTTTGAATGTTTAAGGTTGAGTTGGATATATTGTTTTTGGTGTAGAAGAAAACAAACACTATCAGCCTAGCACTCATATTTCCCACTCAATGGGCTATAAGTCTATTATGTAATGTTTTAACATTAAGTATTATGTACTATTGTATCACTTCTCCTGAGCCGAGCTCTGAACCCTAACCCACAGGCACTAACAGCTGAACTGATTCCCTATTTACTGAAGCTGCTGGAGGGTGGTCTAGAAGCCATGGAGAACCCTGCCTCCACCAAAGCTCAAATTGTCAGAGCTTTGAAGTCTATGCAGAGAAGTTTGGCCCATGGAGAAAAGGTGAACTTTGATCTAGTTTTTCTCTCATTTCTTCACACATTCACAACACGGTTAGGTCTGTAGAGCTCACGCGGTTAGGTCTGTAAAGCTCACAAGGTTAGGTCTGTAGAGCTCACACGGTTAGGTCTGTAAAGCTCACACGGTTCAGAAGGTAGAGCTCACGCGGTTAGGTCTGTAGAGCTCACGCGGTTAGGTCTGTAGAGCTCACAAGGTTAGGTCTGTAGAGCTCACACGGTTAGGTCTGTAGAGCTCACACGGTTAGGTCTGTAGAGCTCACATGGTTAGATAGATAATTAGTCATAAGAAAATATTTTTTTAAATTACTATATTCAATAATAAAAGTGGAGGGAACAAGATTTTAAATTACTATATTCAATAATAAAAGTGGACAGAACAAGATTTTAAATTACTATATTCAATAATAAAAGTGGAGGGAACAAGATTTTAAATTACTATATTCAATAATAAAAGTGGAGGGAACAAGATTTTTAAAACGCTAGCAATCACTTGATTAGAGAATCGTTGGGGTGAACTCTATTCAGTTCTTGGTTGTCTGATTTCGTCCAAGGTCTGATTTCGTCCGAGGCAGATTAGGGGTAGGTAACTCGGTTTAAGTAATGACAAGCTGCTGGACAAAACAAATGACTTAATAGTGGAAATAAATCTTACATAAAAAATTAACTAAGGATATAAAAAAAGCCTGGATAATATATTCCCTTTATAGGGATTTCATTGATAGGTTTATGTTTTATTGCATAATTTAAGACCTATGTTCAATGTTCATTATTTTAGTCATACAAGTATATAGCTTTACTGAGGTTACACCAAACTAAATTTATTTTTTTACTTTTTTTTCATAGTCATTAGTGATTTGTGAATAATATTAAAAGCCTATTTTCTTAAAAATTTTATTTTTATGTGAGATTTATTAATTATTTGCAGGTGACAGAGCTGTTTGATAAATCTTATCTTTTGTTTACAGGTGACTGACTTATTAGATAAATCTTTTGTTTGCAGGTGACTGACTTATTAGAGAAATCTTTTGTTTGCAGGTGACTGACTTATTAGATAAATCTTTTGTTTGCAGGTGACTGACTTATTAGATAAATCTTTTGTTTACAGGTGACTGACTTATTAGATAAATCTTTTGTTTACAGGTGACTGACTTATTAGATAAATCTTTTGTTTACAGGTGACTGACTTATTAGATAAATCTTTTGTTTACAGGTGACTGACTTATTAGATAAATCTTTTGTTTGCAGGTGACTGACTTATTAGATAAATCTTTTGTTTGCAGGTGACTGACTTATTAGATAAATCACCCATCTGGAAAGATTACAAAGACCAAAGGCATGACCTTTTTATTACAGACACAAATATTGCAGGCTATCTTACAGGTCAGTCAAGTAAAAACTGAATCAATTGATAGAACTCTGTTTAGTTTGTGTATTGACAAATATTCTTAGACTAGAAACTTGATTATTTGATAGAATGAAGAAACTTGATCTTTTTATAGAATAAGAAAGTTGATTATTTAAAAGAATGAAGAAACTTGATATGATGTAAAATAAACTCTCATCAATGTATATGTCATTTACATTTTTAATGTAAAGTTAGTTTTCCATTTTTTTATTTAAAATCAATATTTTGCTCAGTTTAATTATTAATTTGAATAACGCATATAACATTTGATAATAAATATCTTCCTAAATGCTATAAAATTTAGAAGTGATATATTTTGTTCAAGGTATCATTTGTCCTTATATAGTTTGCTTATGGTATAATTTGTCCCGATAAATTTGTTCATGGTATCATTTGTCTCGATATATTTTATCTATGAGATCTATTATCCTGATATCATTTTCAATGAATCAATAAAAAAATATTTAGATGACCTCATATAGGATATTTATCTGACCATGTTTAAAAAATGTACATGAAGCACACTATTAAGTGACCCCATGTAAGACTAATTAGGTGACCCCATGTAAGACTAATTAGGTGACCCCATGTAAGACTAATTAGGTGACCCCATGTAAGACTAATTAGGTGACCCCATGTAAGACTAATTAGGTGATCCCATGTAAGACTATTTATCTGACCCCATGTAAGACTAATTAGGTGACCCCATGTAAGACTAATTAGGTGACCCCATGTAAGACAAATTAGGTGACCCCATGTAAGACTAATTAGGTGACCCCATGTAAGACCAATTAGGTGACCCCATGTAAGACTATTTATCTGACCCCATGTAAGACAAATTAGGTGACCCCATGTAAGACTATTTATCTGACCCCATGTAAGACTAATTAGGTGACCCCATGTAAGACTAATTAGGTGACCCCATGTAAGACTAATTAGGTGACCCCTTGTAAGACTAATTAGGTGACCCCATGTAAGACTAATTAGGTGACCCCATGTAAGACTATTTATCTGACCCCATGTAAGACAAATTAGGTGACCCCATGTAAGACTAATTAGGTGACCCCATGTAAGACTATTTATCTGACCCCATGTAAGACAAATTAGGTGACCCCATGTAAGACTAATTAGGTGACCCCATGTAAGACAAATTAGGTGACCCCATGTAAGACTAATTAGGTGACCCCATGTAAGACAAATTAGGTGACCCCATGTAAGACTAATTAGGTGACCCCACGTAAGACAAATTAGGTGACCCCATGTAAGACTAATTAGGTGACCCCATGTAAGACTAATTAGGTGACCCCATGTAAGACTAATTAGATGACCCCATGTAAGACTAATTAGGTGACCCCATGTAAGACTAATTAGATGACCCCATGGAAGACTAATTAGGTGACCCCATGTAAGACTAATTAGGTGACCCCATGTAAGACTATTTATCTGACCTCCTTGTTATAGGACCCAATTGTAAATTTCAGGCCCTACAGGCCCAAGTGTGGCAGGCTATCTGACGGCTGGAACCATGAGATCAACCATGCCAGATGTTCCACCTCCAATAGACCATGAACACCAGGAAGAAAATCCAAGGTCCTCTTCTTTCACCTAATGTACTCTCCAATAGCACATAGGATATATTTGCTCCTGAATTACAGCAGGATTTGGATCAGTTTGCTTCTTGTCTGTAGATGTTACCACTCTAAAACAAATGTTGGAGTTGTACAGCATTTTGTCACATCTTGTCTTTCCAAAGTTTAATGCTGGTCAGCATTTCTTGTTGACCTTATAATTAGTCAATAATTTATGTCCACATTTTTCCAAAATTTCCTTTTTTTTTTTTTGAGTACTTGGTAGTACCAAAGTACCTGGTAGAGCTAAATACTGAGTACTACTCAAGTATTTTGTGAAGCTATTATTTCCCAAATTATTTTTAATATTGTTTTTCACTGAACAAAAGTACTCTGATTAAGTTAATTTTATTATATAATTGCTGTCTTGCTGATACTTTATTTTTTATCTATTCTGTCAAGCTGATACATAGTTTTTTATCTTCTCTAGTTTTCTTTCTTCTGCTAATTTTTTTTTTCCTTACCTGACTACGTGATAATGTTTTATGAGAAGTTTCCATGTGTAAACTGTGGAATGTTTTCTTCAGAAGGCAATATTTGAATTGATGTCACCCTTCATGGTCTCTCCAGTCAGCCTTTAAATAGAATTTATTCACGATGTCAATTTTGACTATTTGCATGGCTACTTTTAAGTTATAGAGATTGTTCTACGAATGAATAAAAAACAAAAGAGATTTTAGTGAATTCATATTTGTATTGATCAAACTATGTTTTATGGCTGTGGTTTCTGAGGTTTTGTAGTTGGGTTGGTTGGATCAAATAGCTGAGAGTAACATTTTGGGCTAGGGCTATAAGTTTAGAATTTTGTTTAATTTACTTTGAAACTTGGCATAGAACACCATTGGCCACAGCTAGCCAGATGACCATTGGCCACAGCTAGCCAGATGACCATTAGCCACAGCTAGCCAGATGACCATTAGCCACAGCTAGCCCGATGACCATTGGCCACAGCTAGCCAGATGACCATTAGCCACAGCTAGCCAGATGACCATTAGCCACAGCTAGCCAGATGACAATTAGCCACAGCTTAATATTTAACCCTAGCCCCTCATGTCCAGCCTACCCATGTTAATTACTGAGGGCTCAATATATCTTTATAATAATCTGTGTTTACTTCTTAGAGCCGAAAGGTCACATTTTTATTAAATGTCTAGTTAATTTGTTTGTGGTTGGTATACAACATGTAATGAGTTAATTTGCAAGTGGCTGTTAATGTTGAGATGTATCACATTTGACTTCTGGTACATAGCCCAACTTGGACTGAATGTTAGCTATTTTTTAGATATGAATAATGTTGAAACATTTTTACATTCAAGCGCAAGCCATTCTTCAGGTGACCAAATCTATTGAGGCCACAACCACAGTTTATCTTATGCTTCTTGCGTACAAGTGTGTAAAAATAGTTTTATCTGTCATTTCTTCTTATTTCATTGACATGATTCTTGTTTGACTTTTGTGTACTATTCACTAATGTTTTTATAAAATGCTATGAAATTGTGTTAATCATTCAATACTGTTCTGTTGGCTGTAAAAAAAAATTATATCTACTATAATGACATAAAAATGTTTGATAATTAAATGTATAATAAATGCTCTACTAATTTATTTTCCGGTTGTTGTTTTTTTCTACTGTACCCTAAAAATTTTTTTTTTTTTTTTTTGTAGATGAGCCAAGCTAAAAAGTGTTTTTATATCAGGCAATTAAAGAAATACTGACAGTTAAAGAGGTGTTTTTATATCAGGCAATTAAAGAAATACTGACAGTTAGAGGTGTTTTTATATCAGGCAATTAAAGAAATACTGACAGTTTAAGAGGTGTTTTTATATCAGGCAATTAAAGAAATACTGACAGTTAAAGAGGTGTTTTTATATCAGGTAATTAAAGAAATACTGACAGTTAAAGAGGTGTTTTTATATCAGGCAATTAAAGAAATACTGACAGTTAAAGAGGTGTTTTTATATCAGGCAATTAAAGAAATACTGACAGTTAAAGAGGTGTTTTTATATCAGGCAATTAAAGAAATACTGACAGTTAAAGAGGTGTTTTTATATCAGGCAATTAAAGAAATACTGACAGTTAAAGAGGTGTTTTTATATCAGGCAATTAAAGAAATACTGACAGTTAAAGAGGTGTTTTTATATCAGGCAATTAAAGAAATACTGACAGTTAAAGAGGTGTTTTATATCAGGCAATTAAACAATTACTGACAGTTATATCAGGCAATTAAAGAAATACTGACAGTTAAAGAAGTGTTTTTATATCAGGCAATTAAAGAAATACTGACAGTCAAAGAGGTGTTTTTATATCAGGCAATTAAAGAAATACTGACAGTTAAAGAGGTGTTTTTATATCAGGCAATTAAAGAAATACTGACAGTTAAAGAGGTGTTTTTATGTCAGGCAATTAAAGAAATACTGACAGTTAAAGAGGTGTTTTTATATCAGGCAATTAAAGAAATACTGACAGTTAAAGAGGTGTTTTATATCAGGCAATTAAAGAAATACTGACAGTTAAAGAGGTGTTTTTATATCAGGCAATTAAAGAAATACTGACAGTCAAAAAGGTGTTTTTATATCAGGCAATTAAAAAATACTGACAGTTAAAGAGGTGTTTTTATATCAGGCAATTAAAGAAATACTGACAGTTAAAGAGGTGTTTTTATATCAGGCAATTAAAGAAATACTGACAGTTAAAGAGGTGTTTTTATATCAGGCAATTAAAGAAATACTGACAGTTAAAGAGGTGTTTTTATATCAGGCAATTAAAGAAATACTGACAGTTAAAGAGGTGCTTTTATATCAGGCAATTAAAGAAATACTGACAGTTAAAGAGGTGTTTTTATATCAGGCAATTAAAGAAATACTGACAGTTAAAGAGGTGTTTTTATATCAGGCAATTAAAGAAATACTGACAGTTTAAGAGGTGCTTTTATATCAGGCAATTAAAGAAATACTGACAGTTAAAGAGGTGTTTTTATATCAGGCAATTAAAGAAATACTGACAGTTAAAGAGGTGTTTTTATATCAGGCAATTAAAGAAATACTGACAGTCAAAGAGGTGCTTTTATATCAGGCAATCAAAGAAATACTGACAGTTAAAGAGGTGTTTTTATATCAGGCAATTAAAGAAATACTGACAGTTAAAGAGGTGCTTTTATATCAGGCAATCAAAGAAATACTGACAGTTAAAGAGGTGTTTTTATATCAGGCAATTAAAGAAATACTGACAGTTAAAGAGGTGTTTTTATGTCAGGCAATTAAAGAAATACTGACAGTTAAAGAGGTGTTTTTATGTCAGGCAATTAAAGAAATACTGACAGTTAAAGAGGTGTTTTTATATCAGGCAATTAAAGAAATACTGACAGTTAAAGAGGTGTTTTTATGTCAGGCAATTAAAGAAATACTGACAGTTAAAGAGGTGTTTTTATATCAGGCAATTAAAGAAATACTGACAGTTAAAGAGGTGTTTTTATATCAGGCAATTAAAGAAATACTGACAGTTAAAGAGGTGTTTTTATATCAGGCAATTAAAGAAATACTGAAAGTTAAAGAGGTGTTTTTATGTCAGGCAATTAAAGAAATACTGACAGTTAAAGAGGTGTTTTTATATCAGGCAATTAAAGAAATACTGACAGTTAAAGAGGTGTTTTTATGTCAGGCAATTAAAGAAATACTGACAGTTAAAGAGGTGTTTTTATATCAGGCAATTAAAGAAATACTGACAGTTAAAGAGGTGTTTTTATATCAGGCAATTAAAGAAATACTGACAGTTAAAGAGGTGTTTTTATATCAGGCAATTAAAGAAATACTGACAGTTAAAGAGGTGTTTTTATATCAGGCAATTAAAGAAATACTGACAGTTAAAGAGGTGTTTTTATATCAGGCAATTAAAGAAATACTGACAGTTAAAGAGGTGTTTTTATATCAGGCAATTAAAGAAATACTGACAGTTAAAGAGGTGTTTTTATATCAGGCAATTAAAGAAATACTGACAGTTAAAGAGGTGCTTTTATATCAGGCAATTAAAGAAATACTGACAGTTAAAGAGGTGTTTTTATATCAGGCAATTAAAGAAATACTGACAGTTAAAGAGGTTTTTTTATATCAGGCAATTAAAGAAATACTGACAGTTAAAGAGGTGTTTTTATATCAGGCAATTAAAGAAATACTGACAGTTTAAGAGGTGCTTTTATATCAGGCAATTAAAGAAATACTGACAGTTAAAGAGGTGTTTTTATATCAGGCAATTAAAGAAATACTGACAGTTAAAGAGGTGTTTTTATATCAGGCAATTAAAGAAATACTGACAGTCAAAGAGGTGCTTTTATATCAGGCAATCAAAGAAATACTGACAGTTAAAGAGGTGTTTTTATATCAGGCAATTAAAGAAATACTGACAGTTAAAGAGGTGTTTTTATATCAGGCAATTAAAGAAATACTGACAGTTAAAGAGGTGTTTTTATATCAGGCAATTAAAGAAATACTGACAGTTAAAGAGGTGTTTTTATATCAGGCAATTAAAGAAATACTGACAGTTAAAGAGGTGTTTTTATGTCAGGCAATTAAAGAAATACTGACAGTTAAAGAGGTGTTTTTATATCAGGCAATTAAAGAAATACTGACAGTTAAAGAGGTGTTTTTATGTCAGGCAATTAAAGAAATACTGACAGTTAAAGAGGTGTTTTTATATCAGGCAATTAAAGAAATACTGACAGTTAAAGAGGTGTTTTTATATCAGGCAATTAAAGAAATACTGACAGTTAAAGAGGTGTTTTTATATCAGGCAATTAAAGAAATACTGACAGTTAAAGAGGTGTTTTTATATCAGGCAATTAAAGAAATACTGACAGTTAAAGAGGTGTTTTTATATCAGGCAATTAAAGAAATACTGACAGTTAAAGAGGTGTTTTTATATCAGGCAATTAAAGAAATACTGACAGTTAAAGAGGTGTTTTTATATCAGGCAATTAAAGAAATACTGACAGTTAAAGAGGTGTTTTTATATCAGGCAAACTGTCAATAAAGTTGTAATCAAACTAGATCTGGTAGAACCTAGCTGCAGCAATAATTTAACTATCTACCAGACACATACTTATTTGGTGCACCGTCAAAATGACCCAGTCGAATAGCCCCGTCAAAAGGGCCCCGACTTATTGGCTCTCGTCAAATGGGCTCCCGTCATATTGACTCGCGACAAATAGGCTTCCGACATAAAGACGCTCGACATATTTGCTTCCGACAAAATTACTCCCGACATATTGGCTCCAGACAAATGAATCGTATGACCACTATTGGAATAAAAGTAACCATTTTGTCCTACCTCCACTACCACTATAACCACTTTTAAATACCCTAATGAAATTGTTTTTCATAAACCAACATCAATTCACAAACAAATCGAGCCCTTAACAGCTAAATTCCACTGAATTCTGAACTTGTGTAACACATATGGTTACCAGCCAGGGGAGGGAAAAAAATGAAGTTTTAATTCATTGAGTTGCGGCCCCTGTGGGGCCGTGGCCCTGTTGACGTAGATGTTTTTTTCATGCTCTTGTGAGCGATGTTACCTGTGTCCCATGTCATGTGAAACTACCCACAGTCCCATGTCACATGACATGGGACTGGGTAGTTTCATGCCTAGCCGTGTCAGTCACACGCAAGGCTGCTGTCTGTGGACACGGTGACCAAGATGTAGACCTAATGAAGGTAGAGTAGTTATATAAATTACGAGCCAACCCGCAGCGTATCATACGCCGCTATTTAGTTGTTTTATCTTCTACTTTTCAGTAATTCAAAATTTGTGAATTCGACAGTACCAATGCTGCCACTGAAAATATTTGCTTTAAAACACTAACCCCCCCCCCCCCTTTCCCCTAACCCCGACCCTACACCCCCCCCCCCCCCGTGAAAGCAGCCTCCTCTTCAGTATTTCTTAGTTACCTCCTGTAAGTTTAAAATCGAACTAAATTATCTGCCCCTTATAGAAACCCGGCTCTACGGCTCTACGATTTGTAAACATTTAGCTTTGTCAACATTCAGCGTGACCACAGCTCACCAGACAATGTGGGGGTGGGGTGGGGGTGGTAGTGATAGTGATAGTGAGAGAAAAAGGGGGGACTGCAAGGAGGCGCTTGCAGCTTGTTTTCTAACGGCTCCCAGAAGAGAATTATATATATAGATGTTTGTTAAAATACTTATTTGTGTATTCCTGCTAGTGCTGCATGTGCACACTAGTTAGGGTGAGTATTAATATAAGTATTTATTTGTAGTACTACTTATTGGTACTTGTTGGCAGTGTTCCCTCTAAGCTGCGCGGCTGCGCGGCCGCGCAGTACTTTCAAATATGCCGCGCAGACATTTTCTGATGCCGCGCACAGATTATCAGAACGTCGGGCAAGCCTAATTCACTAGAAAAATTGTGGCCAGTGACTTGAATGAAGCGACATTTTTAGTACCTGTTTTGTTAAACAAACAGTCTTTGTGTTTTGGGGCATAAACCACAGGTATCATTGACTTGGGGGAGGGGGTGACCTCGGTTGTCCTACCACAGATCCAGTTAATGACAACTCTAAACTGAGAGGGGCGGGTTCCGATGTGATGTCTGGGTGGCACTCCCTCTGCTTGATTTAATGGTTTATCCCAAAAACTGGCCGTAGCTGACACATAATACCTGAAAGGGATTACGGCTTGTAGCTGACCATGCAAGGTTTTATTTTCTATTGCCACCGCCCTCCCCCATCTCCCAACCCCACCCACCTCCTTGATACTTTGACGATTTACCCAAGTCAGATGCAAATTCTACGATTCTAACGGTGGATGTATTTTTCCTCTGTTTGGTTTAAAGATTTATATACTGTATATCCAATTCTTGGGATTATTACGTGCACCTGGATCGAACTGTTTCAGTATTCACAGACTGGTTTAATAAATAAGGAATAAAAGTTTACTACTCTGTGCTATTTGAACACGTTAAAAAGAAAAATGCGTGTAACAAGCGGTAAAACAATACAGCAAAAAAAAAAGCGAGAGATTCGTTTAAACTGGAATGGCTCAAAGTTAAAGTGAGAACCGAAACGCCATATTCTAAGAATGTTTCAGTTGAATTAGGAAGCATCTGAAGTGTAACTTCTGTGCTGCTAGTACTTGAAACTAACACTGAGCGAGAAGAACGAATTGAACAAAATGAGCGCCAGCGTTCAAACGAGGATCAAGTTCGAATCCAAATGGATAATGTTCTTCTCGCCATTAGGATACAAGCCTCGATGCTGTCGGTACAACTGATTCATAACCACATGGTGAAGTATGTTTCTATACCAGACAGTTGGCGAAGTAAGAATTACGCCTTTGAGTTTGTTGAAGCAATCAACGAGGTGGTTGTAAAGAACACACTGACAGAACTTCGAGTAGCATCGTTCCACAAGCTTATAGTTGATGAAAGTACTGACATAACAGTATATAAAATGCTAATCCTTTATTTTAAATTTCGTTCAGTGAATTCTTTATTCTACAAAACCGTTTTTGGTGGAATAATTCAGCTTACCGCATGTGATGCCTCAGCTCTGGAGGCAGCCATAACACAGTACTACACTGAACATCAACTTGAAATGAACCGCATGGTAATGATAACATCAGACGGGGCATCGGTTATGTTAGGCCGTAGGAAGGGTGTGAGGGTGGGGGTTTTAAGAAGGCGGTAACGAATGTATCCAACAACACACAGTTCAAGTTCAACTAAAATTGTTCTTTATTAAAATGATATATATGTTCAAGTTTCTACCTAACTAATCTACACTGTACTATTTACTTCTACTACTGACTGTTCATACCACATGCTACCTACTACTACGACCAATCCTAACACTAACTGTTCTCTACATTCTACAATCTCACACCTTCTACCTCGCTAGCTAATCATGATCTCTTAACTGTCTACATTCCTCGGCCGTCTCTGCCGCTACCTAACAACCCTCTGCCTATTGCTCTACCGCCCCACGCCTCAGTGGTCAGCTGACCATACCACGTGACCGGTCAGTCTCTGAATTTTCATTGGTCTACCTCTGACTAACACGCTAAAGCCTATTTCTGCTATCTACCTGGCTTCGACGCAACATTGCGTCATCACATATCTCCCTCCCTTTCTGTAGCTGACAAATTATATTTTTCAGCGTCTGCTACTAATCTAATACATCAACAACTATCTGTCTTACTACTCTATTCTATCCCTAACATCAATCATATAAATCAAATACAAAATGGGACAGCACAGTTTACAAAAACATAAAATCTTGTGTCTGTGTTCCTGAAAAAAAAATGTCATTGCTCATTGTTCTAGTTTTTGTGTAAGTATCCTGACGTCTGTGGTGTCTCTGCTTGATAATGTATGTCTATGTTATGGTTTGATTGAATCTAATCATGTGTAACTCAGTTCTGGTTAGGTTGTCGTGTACTGGCTTTGAGCTAATCTTAGTAGAATGTGTAACTGGTTGAACGGGCTCTGCGAGCAGTGTAAGTGTATGTGTAAGTGTTATGTAATTGCTGGCGTTCCTCTGTGGTGGGTGGGTTGTGGCGAGTTTTGATGTAAATTCCCGTGAGGCGGGTGTAGGCGTAACTTTCGTTGGTCAATGTGATGACGCAACAAACTCATCTCAACGCTGGTTGAGACGTCCACGTAGAGTGGTTATGCGATGAACTGGAGCTGTCTGATGCGGTGGCGAACAATGACGTAACGTTCCGACGCTGGGAACTTGGACGATGGGTCGTCTACCCTTTGTATGTGCCGACGTAGGTGTACGTAGCTGGCGGTCTGTTATTCAACCCCAGTGCGGGTGCGAAGCGGTGGCGATGCGTCCGCTGTCTTGACCAGGGCAATTCTCTGTTCAGCAGGGCTGTTCGCTGTCCAGGTAATTCAACGTAATCAGGGCTTCAGGTGGCGGCATTCTTTGAAGTGTCTGCTACATCTCGTCTCATTCTGAATAGCGCTGGTGGGTCTGAAATTGTATTACGAGACCATGAGCAATGGTTCTACGTGGACTTTTTATTGCCCGCGCAGACAAGTATTCAGACAGAGGTACCTTCCATTAAAAAACTCAATCCCAATTTTATACGTGCTGAACATTTGTCTGGCGGCATAAAAACCATAAAAAAATAACATTACAACATATAACCAAATAAAAAAAATCAGTACACTCTAATCTAACAACAATCCGTAAAGCCTAATAAAGTCAATAGACGTAAACACTACTAGAGCTTAGAAATAGCTTCACAAAAAGAATAGACATGTGAGTGTATATAATAATCGTGCCGTTTCAAATAACATTTGAACACGTAATCATATAGTGGAGCAGCTCTCACTATCTGACTTCTGACAAAAACTGGCTGGCTTGACTTAATGACTGACTTCAGTAACTTCACTGACTTCAATTTACGACTTATTTCCCATTCACGATTAACTTTACTTCGACGATTTCAACTACTTCCATTTGCCGACTAACTTGACCTAGACGACAGATTTCACTGACTGACTTCAATTCAACTTAAAGACTTCACTGACTGACTTAAACTTCGACGACTTAAACGTCTTCACTTTGACTTCAATGACTTTTCCTTGACTTCAACGACTTCAATATGACTTCAAATACTTCACTTTGACTTCAACAACTTCAATATGACTTCAAAGACTTCAACAACATTGACTGACTTGACTGACTTCAAATAACTTCTTTGACTTCAGTTCTGACTTATACTTCACGCCGATTTCTCGGCGACTTAATTCCTAACATTCTTGATGACCAGAGTTGTATGACCTATGTTCTAGTTGCGTGACAGCGTGTCGGCCAACACGTTTTGTGTGCCGGGGACAGGAACAATGTCAAATTGATAATCTTGTAAGCTCAGTGCCCAGCGTACCAGTCTTGCGTTTGACAGCTTCTTTGTTTTTAGTGCTTGTAGGGGCGCGTGGTCGGTCTGTAAAGTGAAGTGTGCACCGGCCAGGTATCTGGCAAACTTGTTTATGGCCCAGACTATGGCCAGACATTCTTTCTCAATGACTGCGTAGTTTTTCTCAGCTGACGACAATTTTCGGCTAATGTATTGAACTGGGTGGAGTTCATTGTTAAATTCTTGCAACAGACATGCACCTATACCGACCGAAGAGGCATCCGTGCAGAGGATAAAGGGTTGATCTGTATTTGGTAATCTGAGAATAGGTTCCGATGCGAATGCTTGTTTTACCCTGTTTAGTGCTGTTTCACATTTTTCTGTCCACAGTAGTTTCTTATTCTTTTTGTCCGTTTTTGTTAAATTCGTTAGTGGCTCTATGATGGTGGCGAAATTGGGTATAAACTTCCTATAGTAGTTACACAGACCGATCAAGCTATGGACCTCTTTAATTGATGTCGGCACGTTTATGTTCAGTATTTTATTCACTGTAGGTTGGAGTGGCTTTTGTTGACCTTGTGAAATGGAGTGACCTAAAAATTCTATCTCTTCCATTCCTATTTCTATTTTGCTAGGTTTAGCAGTTAGTCCATGCTGCTTTAATATTTCCAGCAGCGTTTCCAGTCCTCTCACATGCTCTTGCCAGGTGTTGTGGAACAGACATATGTCATCTAAGTAGGATATGAGGTCGTCTCGACCCTGTAGTATTTTTCGCATGAGTCTGTTGAAGGTAGCCGGTGCGTTCATTAGCCCGAAACTCATGTACTTCCACTGGAACAAGCCAAATGGTGTTATAAAGGCTGTTAGGTGTCTCACATCTTCTTTTATTGGTATCTGCCAATAACCCCTGGATAAGTCAAGCTTTGTAAAGTATTTAGCCTGTTTAAGTTTAGCAAATAAGTCTTCTGGATTTGGCATTGGTTCTGCGTCTGGTATTGTAATGCTGTTCAGTTGTCTGTAATCAATACACAGTCTAAGGTCGTGGGATTTTTTCTTTACTAATGTGAGCGGCTGGAGTGTATTTTTATTATTTGTAACTTAGAAGGCGAATGTATCGTTTCGTTTCATGTCGTAAATTGTTCGTATTTTTTAGTTGTGTAGTCCCGTATTATGGCGCCGCTGTCTCACTGTTTATGTCCCTGGTTATAGCTAGTTTATATATATTTCGTTTATATTGTTGTCATTGTTTATAGTAAGTGTCTTTTTATAATATTCTGTTGCATGTTTCGTCGTGTTTGGTTTGTTATCCGTGAATTAGGGACTATTTGTTTACGTGTAGCGTGTGAGGTGTGTGGAAGTCGGGTTCCGGCTTGTTCAACTCTGTCTTTTGTGTGTAAAGCTGCGGTGAAGGGAGCAGGCAGTCTCTCTGGTCATCCAGTGAAAAGAATAGCAAATTCGCACCATCCAGCCTTATTTATTTTGTGTTCGTCGTAGTCCTGGTAAGAGAGATCTAAGTTTATTTCTTTGCTATGTCTATTTATTTTGCTATGCTGTTTATTTTAGTTACTGGCCATAAGTTTTTTTGTGGTTGTCTTCTGACCGCCATTGTGGTCAGGCCAGGTGGACTCAGTTTCTGAGTTTTTATTATGTTATAGTTATTTTATTACTTTGTTGTATCTCTTGGGCTTGTGTGGAGCCAAGGATACTGCTTATTTATACTTGGCCCACAGTTATGGTTTACTCCTGGCTGTTGGGTTAAGTGGTATACGTATTCTATTGATTGTATCCCTTGGGCTGGTGTTAAGCCAGGGATAGAGGTAATTTTAGACTTGACCCGCAGCTATGGTTTACTCCTGGCTGTCGGGTTAAGTAATACGCACATTTTATTGATTGTATCCCTTGGGCTGGTGTTAAGCCAGGGATAAAGGTATTTTTAGACTTGACCCGCAGCTACGGTTTACTCCTGGCTGTTGGGTTAAGTAGTAGAGTTGTTGTTACCTGACCCACAGTCACGGTTCGTTCCGGACTGTCGGGTTTGGTTATATTTTTATCTTTATAGTGACCTTTCGCTTCCTGTGGTGATCATGTTGATCCCCAGGAGAGTGTTCGGTTCGTTCTAGTCACTGTGAAGGTACACTTGTTTTTAATAGATTTTATTTTACTTAGCCTTTTGTTAGGCTGGTAACTGTGTTGAGCTAGTAGTTTGAGCTCAGTGTCCTGGCAGTGTTCCAGTTAATTGTTAAAGTATATTCTGTGTGAACTACCTGCAGGCGGTGGAGATGTAATCCAGCCAGCCTGTGGTTAATGCTTTGTATATAACTTTTCTTTGTTAAGTAATTAATTTATTTGTTTTCCTTTTTCTAGGACGTAGTCCGAAATTGGGTGTTGTGTTTGATGTAAAAAGTTTGTTTCGTTTGGTTCTGTTTTGTGTCAGTTTATATCTATTCTTTTTTTATAACTTTTGGTTCCATGCAATAAATTTTATTAACTGTAAAAGTTTTTGTTTTATTTTAGTAGCTTATTATTTAGACTAAGGTTAGGGTTCAACCACTGTGGGTTCTACCACGGTTGCACTGACCGGACAGATTAGTTAGTTAAGCCTAGAAGGGTAGATTTTAAGGTATCCCCCCCTAGCAGGGCTTACAAATTGGTAGCACGAGTGGGGTCAGTGCTTTAGTCTAGTTAAATTTTTGTTTTTTTGCTAGGGCTAGGTGTAGCTTAGTTAAATTTTTTGTTTTGATAGGCCCTTTTTGGAACCATATGTGTTTAGTTTTTGTTTAGTGTAGGAATTGTTTGTAGTCTCAACACCCAATTAGGACGAGATGGCGGAGGCTGCATCGACCAACATAATCATCGTCCCACCCAGGGAGGTCCACATTAGGAGGTTTCATGGAGACAGCCATGCCTCTGAGGTGGATCGCTTCATTGAAGAAGTCCGGGCTGCCTGGAAGGTCAGGAAGGATCTCACGGCCGATGAGCAGAAGGACCTCCTCTGGCAGTACCTGGGCGAGGCAGTGCGGGAGGAGCTGAGTTGCAGGGGTGACGACCTGAACCGCGACCCGGAAGCCACCATCAGGCTCCTCCGGGAGGTGTATGGCGAGAAGAGGAGCGTCTCGCAGCTCATGGCTCAATTCCAAACGGTGCAACAGGGCCCACATGAGTCAGTGAGGGCCTACTCACACCGCCTACACCGGGCATTCAAGACCCTTGTTGCAAGGCAGGGCACCCTGCAGGTCCCACAGACCGACACGGAATTTCTTCGGGACCAGTTCCTTGAAAACCTGAGCCAGTCCTCGGTCCGACGTCAGCTCCAAGAACTTGTGTTCCACGACCCCAAAACCCCCTTTATGGCTCTACGAGACGCAGCCATCAGGTGGTCCGGAGATGAGGATCCAGGGGCAGAACCTGCCTATGTAGCAGCTCTACAGGCCCGCCCCAAGGAAGAACCAGCCTTGCCCAGATCCAAGCTAGAAGACAAGGTAGACAGGCTAGCAGAGCAGCTGTCAGCCCTGTTGACCCATTTGGCCCAGAACCCCCCTGCTGCCTTTCCCCAAGTGCCAGCTGGTCGAAGGGTACTCCGCCGACGTCCAGAGGCGGAAACAAGAACATGTTACAATTGCCACCAACAAGGCCACTTAGCCCGTCATTGCCGGCTTGCAAAAAACGGGGGCCCTCAGTAGATCGGAGTCCCACTGCTGGGGGGCCAGGCCCAGGCTCCACCATACACAAACTGGTTGGACACTGTCCCACTCTGACTATCTACATAGAAGGTGTACCGGTGACTGCTGTTATAGACAGTGGCTCCCAGGTTAGCACAGTCACAGAAACATTTTTCAACTGCAGCCTAAAAAACATTGTGCTAGAAACAGGCACCCATCTATCCCTGAGAGCAGCAAATGGGTTGGCCATCCCATACAATGGCTATTTTATTACTGACATTGAAGTCAACAAAGAAAAACTTTGTGACAAGGGGTTCCTGGTCATAAGAGACCCAGTAGGCGGCCCAGCTCCACCTTGCCTGCTGGGCATGAACATTCTCCAAGACCTGACCACATTGGCCCATCTGGTCAAGCCACCTGCTGCGACACCGAAGGTATGGCGAGAGGGCAAAGCCCTCAGCCCCCGCGAGAGAACTCTGGTGCCTGCCAAGAGCATATCAACCATTCGAGCGACGGGAGGAGACCCCAGAATGGTGGATGACATGCTGGTACAGCCATTGGAACAGCCATTTCACCCGGACCTGCTCGTGGTGCCAGGCCTAACTTCCTGCCGTGAGGGATTCTTCTCGGTACAGGTGGCTAACCTGTCTGAGGAGCCCGTCTACATCTCCAGTAGGACCTGTCTAGCAACAATCCACCCGTTCGAGCTGGTCCCCCCAAACCTGCAGTTCAGGGTCAACTCACTGGCTGCTGAGGTGGTCATAGACTCATCCCTGTCCAGCGAGACCCACGATTCCATGCCAGAGCCCTCGTTTTCCAGCATGATGGCAGAAACCCTAGACCCACCACAGCGGGCGGCTCTGGAGAAATTACTCCAGGGATTCACAGACGTTTTTGCTTGGACAGACGACCAGTTGGGTTTCACGGACAAAATTAAACTCAGCATCCCACTAACCAGTGACATACCAGTAGCGCTGCCCTACCGCCGGCTTCCGCCTACAGAGTTCGCTGCGGTTAAAGAACACATTGAAAGGTTGACTACCAGGGGCATTATCCAACACAGCACCAGCCCTTATGCAGCTCCAATGGTCATCGTGAAGAAAAAGAATGGCGAGATCCGGTTATGCTGCGATTACAGGAGGCTGAATGGCATAACCCGGAAGGATGCGTTCCCGCTGCCCCGAATCGATGAAACGTTGGATGCCCTGGCGGGGTCAACCTTCTTCTCCACGCTGGACTTAGCCAGTGGCTACCACCAGGTTGCCATGGCTGAAGAAGACCAAGAAAAGACTGCCTTCGTTACTCCCTTTGGTCTGTACCAGTGGACCAGAATGCCATTTGGCCTATGTGGCGCCGTCCAGACTTTTTCCAGATTAATGCAGGGGGTAATGAGTGAGCACATCATGAGAATCATGCTGGCCTATCTGGATGACATCCTGATATATGCCCCAGACTTCACCTCACACCTGGCCAACCTGCGCACAATACTCGCACGACTGAGAGATATCGGTCTCAAACTTAACCCTGAGAAATGTGTGTTTGGGGCGGAGAGCGTGCACTACCTGGGACATGTGGTGTCCAAGGATGGTGTGAAGACTGACCCAGGGAAAATTACAGCCATCAGCGAGTGGCAGCCCCCAAAGACCCTAAAAGAACTCCGTTCTTTCTTGGGCCTTGCCAGCTACTACCGAAGATTTGTTAAAGGTTTTGCCAACATAGCACAGCCCCTTCACCAAGTGGTCACCAATACTCATGAACAATTCGGCAAGCGAAACAAACGGCAGGACATAACCAACCTGTGGGGCCCAGAACAACAGTCAGCCTTTAACCGGCTTAAGACGGCCTTGACCACCACGCCTGTTCTGGGTTACCCTGACTTTACCCTACCCTTTATTCTAGAGACAGATGCCAGCAGCTACGGTTTGGGTGCAGTCCTAAGCCAGAAACAAGCGGATGGGGTGAAGGTAATAGCCTTCGCCAGCCGGTCACTCCGAGTAAATGAAAAAAACATGAAAAACTATAGTGCCCTCAAGTTAGAACTTTTGGCTTTGAAGTGGGCCATGGCCGAAAAATTCAGAGGGTATTTGCTGGGCAGCAAGACATTGGTACTGACAGACAACAATCCGCTTAGCTACATTAAATCATCTAAGACTGGTGCAACTGAGCACCGCTGGATTGCTGACCTAGATGTCTTCGACTTCGAAGTAAAATACAGGTCCGGCAAATCCAATGCCAATGCGGATGCCCTGTCCAGGTTTCCTGTGGACAAGCCTGCAGCCAGAGATCCAGAAGTCCAGTACTCCGGAGTGTACCAGGTCACCACACGGGTCCCACCAGAGGTGGCAATATCAACACCTCAACCTGTCCCTCTGGAGGCCCACTGCAATTTCTTGTCTTCGGCCTTACCGGCCGATGTGAAGAATGCCCAACAGGTAGACTCAACCATCCAGGAGATCCTACCCTTCCTGACGCCCGGCCACAGATTACATTCCTCGACTTTATCACTCCCAGCCCAGATTCTCCTGAGACAAAAGTCGAGACTCAGGTTGAAGGACGGTATCCTACAGCGCACAGTGAAACTGCCAGGTCAAGGGGAAATCGCACAATGCGTTATCCCCAATCAACTACGACCAGAGGTACTCCGTCTAAGTCACAACGACAACGGCCACCAAGGACCAGACCGCTGCCTGCAGCTGTTACGGCAACGATGCTACTGGCCGGGGATGGAGGCAGATATACGCCAGTACTGCCAGGCATGTGACCGCTGCCAGCACGCGAAAATGACCAGTCTGAAGGTGCACCAGCCTAAAGGTCATCTTTTGGCCACCATGCCCCTAGAGGTTGTGGCAGTCGACTTCACCCTGATGGACAAAGCGGCAGACGGTACGGAGGATGTATTGATTCTCACCGATGTTTTCACCAAGTGGACAGTTGCTGTTCCGACGAAGGACCAGACTGCCAAAACCGTGGCGAAGGCCCTGGTGCAGAACTGGATAGTTCACTACGGTGTCCCCAGGCGACTACACTCGGACCAGGGCAAATGCTTTGGGGCAGCCGTAATACACGAACTGTGCAACCATTATGGGATACAGAGGTCCCGAACAACGGCATACCACCCCCAAGGAAACGGCCAAGCAGAGAGGTTCAACCGGACCCTACACGATCTGCTTCGGACCCTACCTGTTGACAAGAAGAAGGACTGGCCTCGGTACCTGACCGAGCTGGTCTTCCTGTACAATACAACCCCGCACTCGTCAACAGGTTTCTCCCCGTTCCAGCTGTTGTTTGGGCGTGAGGCAGCTATTCCCTTGGACCTATTTTTAAATCAAGCCCCTCCAGCAAACAGTGGTGGTGCTGGAGATTACCTCCAGGGCCACCTAACACGACTGGCCAGCCTGCACAAACTAGCCCAGGAGAGGCTGCAAATAGAGGCCACCAAGAGGGACAGACAGGCCAATAACAGGCCAGCCGCTGAACTGGCCATAGGCGACCTGGTCCTGTTAAGGCAGCACCCCCTGGGCAGGCACAAAATGGCGGATCTGTACGGCCCGACAGTTTACGTCGTGGTCGAAGTACCTCCGATCACCGGCGGGTGTTACGCCATTAAGAAGAAAGATGGCCCTTCTGGCACCCGCCGGGTGGCCAGCACCCAGATCAGGAGATATGTGCCTCCCCGGGCTCAACCACCCTCCCCAAGGCCGGTCAAAGTGATACCGCCGGCTACTCCAGGCTACAGCCACATAATTTATAAGGTCCAATTGCCGGGGACCAGAGCAGCCGGTAACCCCACAGTACCTGACATACCTCTGCGTAGGTCGGTCAGGGAGCGCAGAGTCCCTAGTAGGCTAGACTTGTGATTGTGCCCTGTGGGCTGATTTTTTTGCAAGTTCTTTTGCAAAGTTTTGTTTTTTGTAACATGTATGATTATGCCCTGTGGGCTGATTTTTTTGCAAGTTCTTCCTGCAAAGTTTTTTGTAACATTTATGATTATGCCCTGTGGGCTGTTTTTTTTCAAGTTTGTTAGCTGGCGGTGACCGCAAGCTTTAGGGGGCGTGTATGTGAGCGGCTGGAGTGTATTTTTATTATTTGTAACTTAGAAGGCGAATGTATCGTTTCGTTTCATGTCGTAAATTGTTCGTATTTTTTAGTTGTGTAGTCCCGTATTATGGCGCCGCTGTCTCACTGTTTATGTCCCTGGTTATAGCTAGTTTATATATATTTCGTTTATATTGTTGTCATTGTTTATAGTAAGTGTCTTTTTATAATATTCTGTTGCATGTTTCGTCGTGTTTGGTTTGTTATCCGTGAATTAGGGACTATTTGTTTACGTGTAGCGTGTGAGGTGTGTGGAAGTCGGGTTCCGGCTTGTTCAACTCTGTCTTTTGTGTGTAAAGCTGCGGTGAAGGGAGCAGGCAGTCTCTCTGGTCATCCAGTGAAAAGAATAGCAAATTCGCACCATCCAGCCTTATTTATTTTGTGTTCGTCGTAGTCCTGGTAAGAGAGATCTAAGTTTATTTCTTTGCTATGTCTATTTATTTTGCTATGCTGTTTATTTTAGTTACTGGCCATAAGTTTTTTTGTGGTTGTCTTCTGACCGCCATTGTGGTCAGGCCAGGTGGACTCAGTTTCTGAGTTTTTATTATGTTATAGTTATTTTATTACTTTGTTGTATCTCTTGGGCTTGTGTGGAGCCAAGGATACTGCTTATTTATACTTGGCCCACAGTTATGGTTTACTCCTGGCTGTTGGGTTAAGTGGTATACGTATTCTATTGATTGTATCCCTTGGGCTGGTGTTAAGCCAGGGATAGAGGTAATTTTAGACTTGACCCGCAGCTATGGTTTACTCCTGGCTGTCGGGTTAAGTAATACGCACATTTTATTGATTGTATCCCTTGGGCTGGTGTTAAGCCAGGGATAAAGGTATTTTTAGACTTGACCCGCAGCTACGGTTTACTCCTGGCTGTTGGGTTAAGTAGTAGAGTTGTTGTTACCTGACCCACAGTCACGGTTCGTTCCGGACTGTCGGG